ATTTTGTTAAAATGTGATTAATTGTACCGACCCTACTGTGATGCTTTGCTTTGTTGATGTGTGCATTGGGAAGCCTCTGCATGCTTACATGTACTCACAGCTCATTGCCTGACATGTTAGACCATAATCTTATTGGATTTCTCTCACTACAGAAACCTTAAAACTACTGAATTGTAGAGTCCATATTTGTTTTTATTCTGTGTAGAAATGCATTAAATACATGACAATATAACTGAAAAGTTTATTTCTTTAATTCAGTTCACCACTTAAAAACAAATATGATTAATTAAACACAGACTGTTGTTTTCAAGCCTTTATTTTGTGAACTTAGTATGTAGTATAAATAAGCATTTTCCACTCATAGCTAATGAAACCACAACAATTAGAATTTGAATATTACATTATACCAATAAAAAAAAAAAATCAAAAATACTTTAATGTTGTCTTTTTTTCAAAAGGTACTTTTAATGAAACAGACTAGCCCTAACATAAAGCACATTCTAATTCACTGAATGGTTTAGAAGGGTGCATCGTTTGTCCTTGACGAATGTATGCATAACAATTGTGCTGTGTTGTTCATACTGGACATGAGTTCAATAATCTTCCTTCAAAGGGTGAGTGAGCATTTGCAATCTATTAGCTATCTATATGTGTCTCTGGGCAAGCATTGATAGAGAACTGTGATCCCAAATTAAACTGAAACACCTAAGAGGAAAGGTTAAAGTCCAGATGTAATCAGGTCAAGATTACTTACTATTTAATATTGGAATAAATTAAATTAGCCATGTCCTTCATTACTAGTCAGGAGCAGTGCTCTAAATCAATGTGTAAGTCCTCTGACATTTGTTTCTTTAACGGTATTACAGAAAAGGAATATGACTTTTGAACATTTTATTTTCTTTGAAATTATTTAACATGCACAAATTAATTATGAGGAATATAAACAGAATGAATGTTTTTATGTTCAGCTCAGATACATATTTAGCTCACCACAATCTCTCTAGTTGAAATGCTTTTTTCCCCCCATGTCTGTACTGCCTGTCAAATCATTTTACTGATCTGTGGATCAGGTCTCTTGTGATAGGAAATACACATTAGTACATCTGCTGATGAATCTTCCACCGGCTATATCCTCTGGGTACCTGCAGGCAAAACCTATTTATTGATCAAGGACAAAAGTAAAGAATTTAAGTACCACTGGGTTATTGACATTTCATTTTCACTTTGCATCGTTGCTGCAGAAAAATACCACCTGAAAGTTTGCATGCTATAGAACTTGCTGTTCCAATGTTTAAAACTAGGAGACTAGGCTATTTTGGGTATTTTCAATTAGTTTTCATTCCAGGTGGTAAAAGTAAAAGCAACCTTTTAGCTAAGAAGCTATTTCAAAGGCATTTTTAATGGTTTGTGTTTGGATTTAAAATGCATCAGTATTTCCTTTTGTGTACTTTTTATAGCTCGGATATTTCAACCATAGTTCCTTAAATTATTTTATGCCTCTATTTTTGGTTGTAAGTCGGCTCTATGCATAACTTCACTACTTCCGGAACTGAAGACAACTTTCTATTGGATGAACTGATGGTGTCTTACCTCACTAACCATGGCCAGATACACCTGGATTAATCAGTTCATCTGTAAGTCTGCCTCGGCAGATGGCCGACACACTGAGCCACGGTTGGTTCTTCCTAATAAAAGGGAGTTTTTCCTCTCCACTGTTGCTACATGCATGCTTAGTGTAAGGGATTGCCTTTGAGTCGATGTAGTCAACTGATTTTCCTTAGATAGAAAACTTTGAACCAGTCTGACTGTATGATCTGGTTGATTTGTCTCTGTAAAGTGCCTTAAGAAGGCATGTGTTGTGAATTTGTGCTATATAGATAAACGGAATTGCAATTGAACTGAATAACGGTAGACTTTAAGTTATGAAGTTTTACAAATAACATCTACTGAAAACAGATTAGTACTTACATCTTCGAGTGAACAAAATGTAACACTTTGCATCTAACTCATGAAATTGGACTGCTTAATAAACGTAATGAAATTTTGTTTTAATCCAGTCTTATATATGTGTATATGTATATATGTGTGTGTGTATATATATATATATATATATATATATATATATATATATATATATATATATATAATTAAATATAGGTGTGTGTATATATATATATATATATATTAAATATAGGTGTGTGTATATATATATATATATTTTATTTTTTTTATTTTTTTTATATATTTATATATTTATATATAAATTATATAATATATATATATATATATATATATATATATATATATATATAAATTTATATATTTTTAAATTTATGTTGTAAGAATGTTAGCAAAAGGGTTTTTTTGTAAGCATGTTACTTAATTGTATTTTTTTGTAATTTATTTAATTACTTTAAAATACCAACTTTGCACACAAGTGCCTGTCTAATTACATTGTTTTAAAATTTTTATCTGATATTAAAATACAACAATTAATCAATTCTTGACTGATTTTCTTTGCAATGAACAAACAGATTCTTGTCTCTTGTAATTATGTTTCCCAGTGAAAACCAAACTGTTAAGCTTCTTGTCCATGCTTTAGAATTTTATGGCAAAAACTGGAATAAACCCAATCTACTGCAATGAAAAGCTCCTTCAAACCTTAAAAAACATAATGATTTGACTTTAGTTTTTATATCAAGTCAGTGGTGGAATTAATTAAGTATGTTTATATTTGTCATACAAAAAGCCCCTTTTGATATTTGGGGGTGTTTTTGCACAAACTCCTGAGACGACGATGCTGATCTAAATGACATGATAATTAAATCCCTTTGACTTGTGCGGGGGTGATAAGCATGCTAGCTCTAATAGGTACCAAGAAATTGAATTGCCTGTTATCATAATGAGTCCCACAGTTGCCAGGTAAAGGATAAATAGTGCTATTATTAAAGAGGCTTTTGTAAAACTGGTCAGGGCTGTTTTAATGTGGGGGAAACAAAATGAATTTCTTGTAAGGAAAACTTAAGCAAAGTCTAAAATACTTAATCAGACAACAATGAATATTTGTTCTCAATCCATATTTCTTCGAAAAAATGCCAAAGCTCTACTGGATAAGGTAAGATTAGACTCATTGTATTGTAATGTTTTCACATTTCTTGTTTTGATGCAAATGCTCTTTTCCTGATGCTAAATCCAGTTGGCATTATTTTTCTGTTTTTTGATCAGATATACATACAGAGTCGGATTAAGATTTCTATTTTTAGAGTCAGAAGAGTTTTCCTTTATTTTGTTATATGTATTTAGCTGTTGTTTGATTATAATGGTTATTTAGTTGTTATTTCGTCTTGGATATTGAAATTGTTTCGTTATTACATTTTTCTTTTTGTTCTGTTAGAGTTTGGCTGAATATCTAACATGTCTTACTTTCAACCACACTCCTTCTTTAACTCACAAACGCAAAAGTTCAAAAGCTAAAAGGAGTCTTCCAATTGTACTCTGCTCATTAAAGATAGATTTTTAAGAGCAGCACCCGCTTTTATCCTTATCTTCAGAGAAGCATGGAAAGGCATGGTTCAGCATGTGTAGCATTCCTTATGATTCGAAGAATTTGAATAAAGCCAATCTATATGCTAACTCTCATATTTCCAGATTCATTCCCACAAACACTTCAGCACAAAAGAGTTGTGCACTAGAATTAAATTTGAAATAATAATTTTTTGTTAAATCTAAAGTTACTCCATTTGATGGTTTTAAAATATCTTCACAAATAAAAGCCTGTAAAGTGTAACACGTATTTATATTCAGTACCTTTCCCCTTTGGAAGAATCCAGTTCAAATAAATTCCTTCAGGAGTTACCTAATTGGTTAACAGTCACCATTATGTAGGGTTGGCAAACAATCCAGGGACAGAGGTGTGGAGAGGATTTTGGCTTTGCAAAAAATGTGATTTTATCAGTTAAGTAGGAACAAGTAGCAGGTACCAGTTACAATTTGCATATTTCTGGGGAAATTATGTATAACCGTATTGCAAATTTTGACCCCAAAAGATGGTGCATTTAATACTTCCATACAAGGTAATGGTGTTTTAACTGTCATGGAGGGAAATTACCATAGACTACACGCTTTAAGAGGGATTAAAATGGGAAAACAATGCACAATGAATGAATTACAATTTTGTGGAGTCTAATACAGAACTAAGACTGATTCTATAAGTATTGTTAGAATCAAGCTTTCAGTCCCTTTGGATACAACAAATGATGAACTCAGATTGATTGCTTAAGTTTCTTTTACTTAGTTTTTGTTTTTGGCTCTGCTGCTTCTACAAAGATTTAAAAGGAGGCTATTTTTAAATACGTAAGCTGGCTGCACAGATTAAGTTTTGAGCTGTACTTTCTTGCTTAAAAAACATCTTAAAATGCATTTCATGACAAGCATGCACTATTAAAAAAAACATTTGTACTTGACACTAATCGGTTACAGCCGCAGCTGGTGGAACAGAGCACTGCAGCTGTCCAAACCAGCCATCAACTGCCCAGAAAGTAATGTGTCTAAAGCAGTTTTTTTTTCAACCCTGGTCCTTAAGATGCATTCTCCTGCAAGTTTTAGGTGTTTCCCTGCTTCAAAACACCTGATTCAAGTAATTACAGTTCAACAAACCCTGTTAATCTGCTATCAACTGATATCGGGTGCGTGAAAACTGGGAGGGATCCAAGATAATTGGCAAGTATGCCTTGAGGGCCAGGTTTGAAAAATACTGCTCTACAGGGAAAAAAGCCCCAGGAAAGTACATTTACCCAGATAAATAAGTGTTGTAAAACGCTATGGAAAAGAGACTAATATATACAAACGAAATATTGTTGCTCCATGTTTCTCAAATTATTAGCAGGTTGTAATATTTTGCTAAATAGATATTAAATAATTGAATACATTCTACTTGATTATATAAAATTAGATATCACTGTTATTTATCTCCCTCTTCCATTCTGTTTTTTTTTTTTTAGATGAAAAGGCCTGCCCCTCCAAAGATTTCAAGTGCCGTAACGGAAAGTGCGTGGCCCCCATTTTTGTCTGTGATGGTGATGATGATTGTGGGGATGCCAGTGATGAGGAGAAGTGCTCAACTCCCAGCTGCGGTCAACACGAGTTTCGTTGTAATGACTCTGAATGCATCCCTGCCCTGTGGAGCTGTGACGGTGATCCAGACTGTAAAGACAAATCGGACGAATCCATGGAGCGCTGCAGCCGCAGGACGGAGCCTCAGAAACCTCGATGTCCAGTTGGGGAGTTTCAGTGCGGCAGTGGAGAGTGTGTACACATGCATTGGATGTGTGACGGAGATGCAGACTGCAAAGATAAATCAGATGAAGCAAACTGTCGTAAGTCAGCTGTGGCTGTATCAGTGTTTGCGTAGTTGGACTGATGTGTGGGTTGATAAATGAATGGGGAATACAGCCGGATGATAAAAGGATGCTGATGTTGTCGTTATAATTGCTATCAAAAAATCTCTCACAGACCAAATTTATTCTACTAACAACAATTGTCTGTGTTGCCACAGGATGATATAGTATTCCCCCAGGCACGCCAGCAGACAGCGCTGTTTTGGGTAGTTAGAAAAATGAATGAAATAGTCCAAGCACTGAAGGCTAACTTTATTAAATAAAAAGATTATATTGTTTATTTTAGAACAGCGCATACATCATTGTTCTATTTTCATGAAGATATTTTCTGATGCCAGTGAAGCATTTTGAAAAGTAATACATCGTCATGATGTTTCTAATTCCAGATTATGTTCTTCAAATGTAGTGTTAAAATGTAATTTATCTGCCCAGTGCACAGCCTCTCTTTGAAGGGAAATCCATTGTTGTATAGATGTGATATCAGTAGGAGTACATGACATGTTATGGAACAGTGCATGTGCGTCACTTTCCTTCACTGGATGGCTACACATCAAAGACTCACCTTCAATTAATCGTGAACAAAGACCGATGACAAATGTGCCACCAAATGACTGAAGGAATATCACTGCTAACTGTATCACAATGATCCCTGAGAGTGTTGCTATGCAACCATGTGATCCTCACAAACTGAAGAGGAGCGTCATGTTCAACTGTATGTGTTTTCTGAGTGTGTGTGTGTGTGTGTGTGTGTGTGTGTGTGTGTGTGTGTGTGTGTGTGTGTGTGTGTGTGTGTGTGTGTGTACGTGTGTGTGTACGTGTGTGAGTGGGAAGTGAGGGTCCTTCATCCAGCGAGACCCCATCTGGTCTCCTCTTCACACTCCCACACACCACTCAGTGAGATCACAGCGACTTCGTATGTAAGACATGATACCAGCACAGTGATGAATGCTTGCACAAAACTAAGACTAATCAGGAGTGCAGAAAGCAGCATTGCGGAAAGAACGTATCAGTTCTCACAGGTTGCTGATTTGCATGCACATTCAAATACTTAAGATAAACACATAAGTGGAATGGTGAAGAACTTATTGTCTTGCTTACACACCTAAGTTGTTAGATATTGTCTAATCATTTTTTTAAATATTCCATCAATACACCCCTTTGTCAGTTAAAGTGTAAAAATGTAAATACATATGATAAGGACTTCAATGCAAACGTGGGAAACGATAGTGACACCTGGAGGGGACCAATTGGAAGGAACTGACCCCACACTGGAAAAAACAAAAATCTAGATAAGTCATTTTTTCTTAAAATAAGTGCATTTGTTCTTGAATTGAGGAGGTAAAAGAGACATCTTGCCAATGGAACAAGACAATTTACACTTAAAATAAAAAAACACAGTTTCATTGTCTTATTTCAAGTGCATATTATCTAATTACCTTATGTTAAGAGTAACAATGCTCATTCCATTGGCAAAGTATCTCATTTACCTACTCAAATTAAGGGTAAATACACTTGATTTAACACATTTTTACTTATTTCTAGATTGTTTTTGCCGTGCAAGTTCTGAACATGAACGGTGTTTCATAACAAGACTTCTTTGCAACCCTCTGATTGTCCATAATTCACACCATTTTCAAGCATAACGTAAGCCGGAGGTCGATGATCGACTTTATAGTCATATCTTGGAACCTTCAGCCACAAGACTTGGACACTTGGGTGAGGAGAGGGGCAGAGCTGTCCATCGATCACCACCTGATGAATAAAAGCAGGATAAAAAAAAGTGTTACTATAGTTTGGCCTTAATAATAATAAAATGGCAGAAGAGATTGAGGACGGCATTGTTGCACAATGCCTCACAATCTGCTTCAGAGTTCAGTTTATCTAAAATAGTCCAGAGATTTTTGTTAAAACAAACATCTTGTTGGCCTAATCTTTGATACAGTAATTGGGTTTAGTACTTAGGTTTTCTCCTGATATCAAAAATTATAAATCTTTAGTCTTAATATATGTAAGATTCCTTGCACCATTTTACAAACTTGTTCATTACTGGTGACTGACTACAAGCAATGATCTGTATACTTCATAATACATCTGTCGTTATGGCTGCTCTAAAACATGTTTATAGAATAAACAGTAGAGGTGAAAGCACACAGCCTTATGGGGGGCCTAGTAGGAGTCTATCTAAAATCTGATAGGGTATTGTAAACGCTCTTCACTGTCTTTCTTGTCAACAAATGTCCAAACAATCATATTATAACTTGAAAAATACTGTTTGTGAAGCCCTCTGGTTAAAATCTACAGTCAATTTGTAGTGAGATTCTAGGGAGAACCCAATGATAAAAGTCGGACACGTGAAGGTTGGATTCTCCACTTATCTGCAAACTGCTAAGAATCAAAAAGATACTCAAAACATCTGGAGTTAGCATTGTTCCAGGTATTACAAAAAGGAGTTTTTAAGATCTGACAATGAAACATAGGACTTAGTTAGTTGACAAAGAATTTCATTACACAGCTTCATGCATTATGCAGTCCCTTGGTTTTGCTAATTTTACAAAACGAAGTCCTTACTTCTAATTTGTGGTTTAAAAAAAAATGTTTTAAATTATGTTTATTAAAACCAGATTAGCACATCACTGTATCTAACATATGCCTGAATGTTCTTTTTTTTGCTTTTTGTCACAAAAAAATGTAGTCTTTTTTAATCTTTCATGCCTTTAACTTAACTTAATTTAACTTTAACCTTCATATCTTTTCATATTTATTCAGCATATATTCAGTTTTGAATATGTAATAAAAATCCCCAAAAAATCTACTAAACCATGGTTCTAACAAAGTAATACATTCAAAACTGTAAAATAGATTGGACTGGTTTTGATTTATGATTTTAAGAAACAATCAACTTAAATCAAAAACTATCTTTGTATAATCATAAAGTTATGTTTTGTTAATTAGGAGGTTTTCATGTCTTTGCTCAGATGACGGTTGATGTGGTGTGGTTGTGTTGCGCGTGTATAAATCTGTTTTCCTGCTCTTACACAACACGAATGTGGGTGGATGGAGATTTATGTAAAACAAGATTTAATGGTTTGAAGTGTCTATGTAATGTACATCAGACTAGAGTAGTTTAGGCGGTGGCATTATTTCATTGTCAAACAGAGAGGTGGCCTTCATCACGTACCGTCTATTTGGCCCCTTCACCTCTCAGGGAATCTTTCTACTTGTCTTTTATTGGTTGCTCGATATTTTTGGGGGTTAGTTCAGAGACATTTTGTGACAAGTAATTGTCAGAAGGGTGAGGGGAGGTTAATGTAAATGAGGAATGGTCGGAAGCTGATATTCTGTGCTGCCAGCACTTCCACAGATGGCAATCTGTTATCATTACTATTCATCCTTAGGAATTATCATAATTAGCTGAGCTCAAATCTTAATGATTTGGCTAAGAGAATCAGCACATTTTGTGATGGAACCGGATTATCTCTTGCACTCTGTGCTTGCTTAAGATTAACATTTGGGTTTCGTGTTGAATTTTTATTTGAACGGTTTGAGTCAGTGTGCCTTGGTATTCACTGGATTGTAAACACACCTTTCTGTGATAATAAACTATGTCTATTCGCTTTATCTTTCTTAATGTGTACTCTTAAAGTCCAGCTTTTTGTCTGCTTTTTTTTACCCAGCTTTGTAATTACAGTCATTACAGGTGCCTACTTTCTATAGTCTCCACACTTATTGATCATGTCTGCCTCCATGCTTTTGCAGAGCTGGTCTAAAACACAGAACATAAATAATTTAAGAGCCAGTTGAAAAGATGAATGAGTTGAATAAAGGCTCTTTTTGTTGTTAGAGCAAGACCAAACGAATATCTGCGTTTGCACATTGAAACACCACCGTTCTCCGGGGGTTCACTGGATGTGGGTCTCTTCCATTCATGGCGCACATAGGTTTTTTTTCCTTTTATCTTTTAAAGGTATCTGTGTTCAGGTATTGGGAATATTGCTTCATTTTAGATTGGAAAACCCTCAAAGTTGACATTTAAAAGAAACATATGCAACACGTAACTGAACACCTTCAACAAGCCAGCCATGTTTTTTTCTGCAGTAAAGATGTTAAGACTCAGCTAATTGCTCTTTGTGCTCTTGTTTTGTGTTCATGCACCTCAGCCCTCCTAACATGTCGACCTGATGAGTTCCAGTGTGGTGACGGCTCCTGCATTCATGGCACCAAACAATGCAATAAAGTCCATGATTGCCCAGACTACAGCGACGAGGCTGGCTGTGTAAACGGTAACTTATCACATGCGCACACTCTTCCCAGTTAGATAAATGTTTGATTTAAATCCAGTTTCTGCTATAAAACTGAATACAGCCTCTCGCCAAACAAGAATACAATCTATGGTTTCATGCAAAATTCTTCATAATGTATTCAGTTGTTTGATTTAACTTTACTTACCATAAACATTTTTTCATTTAATGCTTTAATATTTTTAATGAGCTCCGTCGGGATATGCTGCATAAGCATCTCAGGTGGCTTTGCTGCTTGATTCTGCTGCTTGATAATCTTGAAGTAATAACATTTAGGAGTGTAGAAAAATAATATCTGATATTTAGTATTTACTGAGAAGGTACCCAGGATACATCTTAAGACTAAGAAATGTGCTAAAGCGATACCGTAAATATCTTACTAATCCACTTAAAACTGTTTAGTTATTTTATGGGTAACAGGAAGCAAATGATCATGTGAATTTCTCTAGTTGAGGAATTAAAAGCATATAAATCTTTAATGCTCTGAAAATAAAACTTTTTCCCAGCTTGCCGGATTATACTGCAAACCTTACTGTATTTGTTTTGGGACTTTATAATAACTTGAAGTAATGCATAATAGGGGTGGAACGGTTCACAAAATCCACGGTTCGGTTCGATTCACGGTTTCGTGGTCACGGTTTTCGGTTCAGTTTGATTCGGTATATGTTGATTGTTACACCGAAATCCCATAAAAATTTATGAAATTAATGAAAAAATCCCCCAAAAAATAATGGATTGTAATTATTTTAAATGATCCGCGGAAACCCTGGATCATTTCCGTATGTTTTGCTGCTTTGAATTTAATCATCTGGCGCATGCTCTCTAACCTGACAACAGCCAGATGCATGTCTCGCTCATGTCTCGCTCAGCCACATGCATCTGGCTGTTGTCAGGTTACATGCTCTCTACCATCTCCAAGGAACTCGGGGGGGGGGGGGGGGGGGGGGGGGGGGGGGGGGGGGGGGGGGGCAGACGAAGCCACAGCGGGGGCTGTAGGCTTTGCTTTGAGCAGCCGGTCAAAGCAGGGCGGAGCGGGGGTTGCTGACGGAGTATGAGGGATTTCGGGGTTAGCATGACATGTTGCTGTTAGCATAAACAAAACGTGTTGCACAATGCTTGCACATTGTTGCACTTTTATCCACAACTTTCTTTCCGCCGTCATCGTAGGTCACTCTAAATGCAAAGCGGTCCCATACAGCAGACCTATAAAGTGCTGCTGGCGCGTCTTCCAACTCCTGTTCTTTACCACTCGCCATACCCACACAATTCTCCACAACAACTGATTTTTTTTCCTGCTACACCCAGCTAAGCTGCGTCGCTTTTTCTTCTTCTTATTTACTACTGGTGGTTGGCTTTGGTCGCAGTACCGCCACCTTCTGCTCGGGAGTGTAAACGCTTCGCCTATGAGAAAAAGGAGCAGCGCATGAACCGAACGAAACACACGAGAATCGAACCGAGACAGTCGAACCGAACGGTTCGGACGGTTTTCATAAATCGTCCCATCCCTAATGCATAAATGTGATGTGGAAGATGAGTGAAATTTTATTCAAATTTTATTTATTTTTATTCAGTAAAATCAGATGCAGCCAATTTCCTTCAGAAGCCAAACATTTAGCAAATGGAGTCAAACTGTTAGTCATTCTTAGTCTAAATGAAGCGGTTCCGTGACCAATTTAGATGTTTGTTTTTTGGGGGGTAAAAAAGTGTCAACACCCAGAAATACAGCAGTTTTTATTTGTTTTTCCACAAACTTCTTCCCATCACAACAACACCACAACACTATATTAATAGTCAGGACTTAAATGACCACACAAAAAAAGAGAGAATTGTTGCACAATAAAATGACAGAGGCAAAGTCCACACTTAAATCCAGTCTATTGAAGAGACTTGAGATTGATATTTATAGATGCAACCCATAAAATCTGTGTCAAGGGTTATGAATACTTTTGGAAGCTGTCAAAATGAAAATGCTGTACATTTTTGTGTTTTGTCATTTCCTTCTCTATACAAATGAGGAACATTTTAATAAGAAATATTAAACCAAACAAGACAAATAAAATCAAGAAAAGAGTTTTCAAATTTTGGCTATCTATCTCAAATTTAGAAACTAGAATAGAATAGAATAGAATAGAATTCAACTCTATTGTCATTACACTGTCACAAATACAAAACAACGAAATGTAGTTTGCATCTATCTGTGAAGAGCTGTACAGGATATAATGTGTATTTATATGTGCACAGAGACTGTGTATGTGTTAGCTATACACTACTGTATGCTGTCTGCAGCAAAATTAAACCTGTAGGACACTTCAACTTCTATTCCCCCCTACGAATTGCAATTTCATTCATGTATTGTAAAATATACCACACACAGAAGTTTAAAATGTAATATATATTCATGGACATTAGACATCTAGTAATCCACATTGTAATCTGCATCAAACAGTGTGGTAGTACAGAACCTGCAAACCAAAAACAACTTTTTTTTTTTGTTCTACAGTTACAAGGTGTGACGGGCCAAAAAAGTTCCGCTGTAAGAATGGGGAATGCATTGACAGCAGCAAGGTCTGTGATAACGTTAAGGACTGCAAAGACTGGTCTGATGAACCAGTGAAGGAGTGTGGTAAGATCAGTTCATTTCCAGGCTTAAAAGCCCTTCCCATCTCAGATGAGCCAGTATATACCTCAGATATACCTGTAGTATATGAGCAGAATAAATAGTGTAGGTGGTCGCTTGTCATAGAGAAGGAGATTCGTTTGATCAATGAAAGGGTAAATTAAGAAGCTTGTCAGCTGTATGTTGTGATCAAAAAACTGAGGTACCCTGCTTTCTCTTCATACAATCTTAGGCTGATAAATGTAACTGTGTAACATTATCCATAATGAGTTCCATAGTTTGTCACTACTTAAAGTAGAACTATCCAATCCTGACCTTCAGTCACCTACCTACTATTACACGAAAGGCAGATACACTATATTGCCAAAAGTATTTGCTCACCTGCCTTGACTCACATATGAGCTTAAGTGACATCCCGTTCCTAATCCATAGGGTTCAATATGACGTCGGTCCACCCTTTGCAGCTAGAACAGCTTCAACTCTTCTGGGAAGGCTGTCCACAAGGTTTAGGAGTGTGTTTATGGGAATTTTTGACCATTCTTCCAGAAGCGCATTTGTGAGGTCGCACACTGATGTTGGACGAGAAGGCCTGGCTCTCAGTCTCCGCTCTAATTCATCCCAAAGGTGTTCTATCGGGTTGAGGTCAGGACTCTGTGCAGGCCAGTCAAGTTCATCCACACCAGACTCTGTCATCCATGTCTTTATGGACCTTGCTTTGTGCACTGGTGCACAGTCATGTTGGAAGAGGAAGGGGCCAGCTCCAAACTGTTCCCACAAAGTTGGGAGCATGGAATTGTCCAAAATGTCTTGGTATGCTGAAGCATTCAGAGTTCCTTTCACTGGAACTAAGGGGCCAAGCCCAGCTCCTGAAAAACAACCCCACACCATAATCCCCCCTCCACCAAACTTTACACTTGGCACAATGCAGTCAGACAAGTACCGTTCTCCTGGCAACCGCCAAACCCAGACCCGTCCATCAGATTGCCAGATGGAGAAGCGCGATTCGTCACTCCAGAGAACGCGTCTCCACTGCTCTAGAGTCCAGTGGCGGCGTGCTTTACACCACCGCATCCGACGCTTTGCATTGCACTTGGTGATGTATGGCTTGGATGCAGCTGCTCGACCATGGAAACCCATTCCATGAAGCTCTCTGCGCACTGTTCTTGAGCTAATCTGAAGGCCACATGAAGTTTGGAGGTCTGTAGTGATTGACTCTGCAGAAAGTTGGCGACCTCTTCGCACTATGCGCGTCAGCATCCGCTGACCCCGCTCCGTCAGTTTACGTGGCCTACCACTTCGTGGCTGAGTTGCTGTCGTTCCCAAACACTTCCATTTTCTTTTAATACAGCTGACAGTTGACTGTGGAATATTTAGGAGCGAGGAAATTTCACGACTGGATTTGTTGCACAGGTGGCATCCTATCACAGTTCCACGCTGGAATTCACTGAGCTCCTGAGAGCGACCCATTCTTTCACAAATGTTTGTAAAAACAGTCTGCATGCCTAGGTGCTTGAATTTATACACCTGTGGCCATGGAAGTGATTGGAACACCTGATTCCAATAATTTGGATGGGTGAGCAAATACTTTTGGCAATATAGTGTATGTCATTTCCTCCTTTAAAATCAGGAAGGTTAGATGGTAAATAAATAATCCAATGTTAAGGATTTTACAGTATTTTCACCTGCAGTTACGTAGGTCACATCAGCCAGAGTTGTCTGGAATGCATAATAACGAACCTAATATTTTTAAGGAAACTTCTTTTTTTATATAGAGCAAGATGTGTTCTCTGAGGTGAAGTACATTATTGTTTCACTGTATGCAGGTAAAAACAATGTATAGATAGATAAATGTCGCCTAGCGAAACAAGGTCAGGAACTGGAGAACCAGAGCACCTTGATGAAAAATGGCTTACTCCAAGAAAGAAATGGTTGAGCTGCGAGAAAAGGCCTCTGCTAGAATGCTACTACTTCAGTAACCCTAGTCAGAGGGGCCTAATGCAAAGGATGTGGGAGAAATGGTCACACTCACAGCAAAACTACTCATAGCTCAGTGTTCCAACATCCATAAAAAACCCACATAAACTGCACTCACAACATGAGATTGACAAGGTACAAAACTGCTGTTCTGGCGAAGGGGGAACCAGAACCCCAGGTCAGAGGGTAGTTAACACCAACCCCCGACTAGAGATTGGGTACAATGCCCAAATAAGCACAACCACGCTGAATGAAGCAGTGACTGCCCTGAAAAATAAGATCATGGCAAAAATATCCACCTGGCAGAAACTGAATCAAGTACCATTAGAATGTCTACTAGAAGACTTGAATGCAGCTCTGCAAGTAATTTCTACATCAAACATCACTGACACCAATGAGCTGCTGTACTACACAGCAGCAGTGATCCTAGAGATGCTTGGTTGTAAGAACAACCATGTGTTGAAATACCTACCATGGAGAAGAAGGCTGGAGGCTAATATCAAGGCAATATGGAGAGGAGTCAATTGACGGAGGCCCTAAAAGTTGCAATGAAAAAGCAAGTACAGCCAGATGCCCATACCTGTAGCTCTGGAAACTGCCAAACAAAGGCTCCAAGCCTGGGCCAGCCACCTAAAGAGAGACGATGAAGCCAGACGGGTAAACCGGCTGTTTGCAACTCAACCAGTAAAAGTGTACGCTCAATGGCAGGGGAGCAATAGAAGAACAGCCCCACCAAGGTTGGAAACTGAACAGTACTGGAAAGACATATGGGAGAAGGAGGCAGCACACAACAGTGATTCACAGTGGTTGGTGGCTGAGAGAGGACCTCAGCAACCTCCCTGAACAGAATCCAGTCACCAGTACTGTGGCAGACATCCAAGAAAGAGTCTCTGGTATGAAAAAGTGGACAGCACCAGGTCCGGACATGATACACGCCTGCTGGCTTAAGAAACTCATGGCATTCCATCAACACTTGTCAGCACAAATGAACCAGCTGCTGAGAGAAGGAAACCACCCTGGATTGCTAACCGAAGGGTGCAAAATCCGGATCCTGAAGGATCCATCAAGGGGTACAGTCTAATCCAACTATCGGCCAATGACCAGCCTTTCCACAATGTGGAAGCTCTTGACTAAGAGAGGGAAGATAGTCCACACAGGGGGTGTCTCACTCCCAGAAGGAACAATAGCAGACATTGAGGACAGTTACTAGTACCTCGGAATCCCACAAGCAAATGGCAACCTCGAAGAGGTGACCATGAAAGAAGCTATGGCCAAATACCTCCAACGAGTAAGGCAGGTCCTAACAAACCAACTGAATGGCAAAATAAAGTCATGGGCAATAGATAGCTATGCTCTACCAGTAATCAGATACCCTGCAGAAATTATAAGCTTGCCAAAGGATGAGATATAGGACACAAAAGTTAAGAAATGTCCTAACCATGCATGCAGGGAACCACCCCAAATCCAGCAACCTGACACTGTACGCTAGCCGTAAGAAAGGAGGCCGATTACTATTGAGGGTGAGAGCCACTATCAACGATGAAACATCCAAGATCCATAAATTCATCAAGGACAAGGCTCCAACAGAGGACATGCTCAGTGAATGTCTCGGACAATGGGAAATGGGAAGAAGATGAGTATCTAGAGGTTCCGTCATAGGAGAATAAGCCCCAACACGCGATGTACCACCAAATCATTACCGAACTGCGGATATCAGGAAATCCTACCAATGGCTAGACAAAGCCGGACTGAAGGACAGCACAGAGGCACTCATCATGGCTGCACAGGAGCAGGCCCTGTGCACCAGATCAATAGAGGTCCAGATCGACCACACCAGACAAGACCCTAGGTGCAGATTGGCAGAGAGGCCCCGGAGACAATCCAGCACATAAATGCAGGGTGTAAGATGCTGGCAGGGAAATCTTACATGGAGTGGTCATTGGGGCAGTTTGGGCAGTGACACCAAAATTTGAGGAGTGGTTACAGCAGATCCCTGGAAGTGCACCAGACATCTCGGTCAAGAAAAGTGCAGTTCTAGGAACAGCAAAGGTACTGTGCAGAACCTTCAAGCTCCCAGGCCTTGTAGAGGTCCTGAGCTTGGAAGAAAAAAGGGAAACAGCCTGCAGTGGTGAGGAAGAGTTTATATATATATATATATATTGATAAGCTATTGAATTTATTGTGGAAGTTACACTACTACTTTCTCTCTTCTGTTATTTTTTTTGCAACAATCTTCTCCTTTACCTCTTCTAACTTCTTTACTTGTATGGGAGAGCTAATCATAGCCCCCTGGCATGGCACAAGTATTGCAACTCCTATTACAGCTTTGTCAGCTTCAGGCACTTTCCCATCAACACTTAAGCTTTTTTGTTGCAGATACCTTATTGGGCTTCACTTGGTTGTAGCCTTAGGCATTGTTGGCCCCTCCCCTCCTCCTAAACAATATTCCAAAATTGATTTAAATATTTCCAGTTTGCTTTATAATCACTTTTTATTTAAATTAATATGTAAAACAAATCTTATATTGATAGAGCTTTTAACAAGAAACATGTCACATTGGAAAAAACTGACACTTTGTGTGGTTAACAGCATTGTGAATATCTGCCTTAACTTAAATGGAAAGAAATGTTAAATTGCAGGTTTGTAGTCATTCTTGACTACTCCTCTCATTCTGTCTCTGTCTTACTCAGTCTTTGTTCCAAAGCGGTACCTGTAACCTTAAGCCTAAATCTTTAATTTAAATCTGTAATGAAGTACCAGCTTCAGCTCACTGCAGTGATCTCTCTTGACTCCCTGGAGGGTGATTGAAAGACAAAGGGATACAAGAGGTGATGCAGAAACATAAAACAGATTGGAAGAACAACAGGGAGAATCCAATCAGTTCTTCTAATTGTTAAAAAGAGGGGGAATTGGACAGATAGAGATGTGACAATAAGGAGAAAGTGCTTGTGTAACAGTTGGTCATTAAACCGAAATGGTACCTGCTGAAGAATGTGTTCCTTACGAGTAGAAACTGTTCCTGTAAGCTATGAACAAGCTGATTTTCATAGCACTTGTGTATGTGTATTTTGTAATGCTTCAAGCTAACTGTCTTTTTCAATGGGGATTTTGATGTATACAGGCACAATTGACAGGGTAAAATTATCTTGATTGGCAGATTGATAAAAACTATCCTTACACACTATCTTGGGTGTTTTGTCTTTCAGTCCAGAGCTTTCTTTGTGTGCTTTGAAGGCTAAGTTATTCTGACCAATAAATCTGCTGGAGTTATTTCATCAATATTCAGCTCCTCTTCACTCTATTCCTCCACTCACATGCCTGTCGCTTCCTCCATCCCTTCCTCCCCGCCACCCCTGTCTTTCCAGGCCTCAATGAGTGTGCTGACAACAATGGCGGCTGCTCCCACATCTGCAGGGACCGAAGAATTGGTTATGACTGTGACTGCCCCTCTGGATACAAGCTCCTGGACAAAAAGACTTGTGGAGGTAAGGAAAATAGTTTATGCAAAAATGCTGCTGCTTTAATGGAGAGAAACTGGCTATGTCCCTGTGCTTATCCATGCAAAATATCATCAAAACCTTCTTTATCCTTTTTTCTGCAAAAAAAATTCCCTGTTTATTCAAATTGCTCTGACTACTACGATCCGGTGCTGATTTGCAGTGTAAAAACTCAGGCACCAAAAATGATGTGTCCTATTCTGCAAATTATGTTTATTGGCAAATACACAAATTAGCAGCTGGAACAAATCGACTAGCAATTTGAATAACTTAGTATACCTATTATAATTGGTGTTTTCTCCAAATTTACCCAAAAAAAAGTTTTAATGACATGCTCCAGACTTGGGATTGATCAAGCTCCATTATAAGCATCTTTGATACTTAGGAGAGATTACCAGCGATGTCAAAAGGAATAGATACTTGTGTGAAAATGTAATGAGTAGAAGTCAGAAGTAGGAAGAAAAATAAGTAATGAAGTAAAGTATAGATACCTTAAAAGTGTATTTAAGTAATATTTGTACTAATTGCCACCTCTGATAATTATCTGCTAAACATGGGGTTGACACCAGCTACTGGCAGTTGTTTAAAGAGTCTTAATACACCTCCTTTTGGAGGATATTCTTTGGTTTGTCTGCTTCAAATCCCACCAGAGACATATTAAAAGGCTTTCTGCTGATTTTGAGTGCCAACTTTATTATCTTTCAAATGTTCTTGTTAAAACAAGCCTTGGTTGACTTTACAATAATCTTCGGGTCCTCCTGTTTAAGGACTCGGCTTCCTCATGGAATACATGATATTTTCCTCAACAATTTGACCTAATCCAGCTTTTCCTAAACAGGCTGAGGGTTTTTATTGCAAGATGAATCCCAGAGAACTGTGGAGCTTCCACTATGCTTCACTAAAGGCATATCTCTTTTGTCTCACTCTATATATATGTGTAAATATATGCTAAAGATCATCTTGTCTTGGGAAATTGTTGTGCTGACATAAGTGAAGACACTAATGAGATTTGTTGGATTATCATTTGCACCTGCATGAAAAGAGCACAACCATAATGCACGAACTACAATAGTTATTGAGCACCTAAATCAAATAAAAATTTTCACATAGCATTGTCCTCAAGCAGAATAGAGGGATGGAAGGGAAGGAGGAAGCTCAAAGCATCAGGAGGCACAGATGGGCAGGACTATCAGCTCTGGGAGGTTTCCTGTACAAGCAGAGATGCAACTCATTTATTTTGGGGATTTTTTTTAGCCTAGAAAAAAAATATCCTAATCTTTTGAAAAACTTTGCTGCCATTCGCAACAAGAAAGGACTCTCCTTTGTTAGAAATGTTTCCTTCATGTAGTAGTGTTCTTATAGACCATATTTAGAAAAATTGACAAAAACATGTCAATTTTCACTTGTTTATCTCTACTTGATGATCAGCAGGTCCTTTAAAGAGTGAAAAGGGTATGCACTTTGATAGATTTTTTTAGTTAAATGTTAATTAGATTATGGTTAAAAACCTACACCTTAAGGCATTTATATAAGTGAGAGCAAACTTTTAATGCCTGCAGTTTCCTGTGAATTTAATACTCCGACTGCTATCAGAAAAACAGAAGGATGGGTTTTTTTTTTTGGTGTCTTAGTATTGAAGAAAAGAGCTGAATGGACAACTCAGACTTTGAACAAACTTTAAGACAGAATAATGCCGGAAAAAAAAAAAAATCTCATTGTAATTTCATTACATATTCTAAAAAAAGAAGTGCTATCATATAAACTTAATACATTGTCCATATTTATTTTATACCTACTGTATATATGAAATATTACGATAGACGAAGCCAGAATCCATTACCTGTAGAATGAAAGAAATTCTTTTTTTTATGTAAAGATTCTCTCCAAAAAATATTTTTCATCCCAGAGAGCTAGACTCATGTTTCTATAATCAGATCAAATATTTTTTGCCTTTGTATATTTTAAGTTAATTTACAATTCTGCTTATATTCTTCTTTCATAGACATAGATGAGTGTGAGAACCCAGATGCCTGCAGTCAGATCTGCATTAACTACAAAGGAGATTATAAATGTGAGTGCTATGAAGGCTATGAGATGGACCCTGCGTCAAAGACTTGCAAAGCTGTGGGTAAGTCATGTCTCACATGCACACTTTCTCACACACATTTGCTCAGGAGAAGACATACACAAAACCACAGATAGATGTTCTCACCAAAATCCATCATGATCCCATATATACTTGAGCAAATTCAGACATGGAGACTCGCTCTTGTATAAACACCAATTACTCATCCATTCCAGCACCCCTAACTACAATGTGACATCCTACACTATTCTCACTCAGCAGGACTCTGAAAAGAGAGGCTTGTTTCGTATGCAGGGCCTGCACAGCAATCTGTTCAAAGATAAATAATTGCCATCTTTTTCTTTAGTCCACTATAATGGTGACTTTTCAGCCAGCTGCCTCAGCTTTCCCCGGGGTGTGAGGAGGGCTGTTGTGTGGGTAAGGGTTGTGCACTCACTGCAGGACACAGGCAGGGTCTGTAACCCTTATTTGCTGGCAAGAGATCTCTGGGCTGTGTTATGAATAAAAAGCATAACCCTGCGCTGTTAGCTGGTCCAGATAATGAAAAGCTTGTATCGCTTTATCACAAAGTGAAGATCCACATGGAGTTTTTTCTTATAGTGGAATTCAGAACCTCTTTTGCATCAGATAAAATAGTTGTTTTAGTGTGTTATATGTATTGGTTATAAATGTTTACAGTAATATAAAGCAACTACAGAACATTAGCAAATATATTCTGTTGTTATCTTTTTTGGAAACGATGTGGTCTGTTTTTGCATTTATACCAGCTAAGCAAGATTGTTATGTACAATGTTTTATGTAAGAATATAAAAAACATATTTTTCAGCTTTTGCCTGTATGGTAAGCCTCACACGGTCATCTACATGCTTCAAATGTTTACTGCTGTAGTATGCACTTTGTATTTTGCCTTTGATATGAGTCTCCCAGACTGGTTTTCTTGGAACTCAAGACATCTAGAATTAGCCTGCTAGCCTCTTCCCAGAGGGCAGCAGGGAGAACAGTCCATGGTAGGGGTGTGCGGGGTCGCTGATGATGTTACGGGCTCAGGACACGCACCGCTGGGATGAAATGTCCTTAAAGGAACGAAGATGAGTACTGACGATCCTCTCTGCTGTCCTCACCACCTTTAACACATTATTAAGCGCTTTTGTGCCCCCTTGACCAGTGAGGTGGTAATTGCAGACCAGGTGAGGTTTTCTGTGATGTGCACCCCCAGGAATTTGGTGCTGCTGACCACCTCTAAAGCTGAGCTGTTGATGTGCAGTGGAGCATGGTTAGGCTGGTTCTTCCTGAAGTCAACGATGATCTCCTTCGTCTTCTCCACGTTCAGGATTTAGCTGTTAACTTTGCACCAGTCCACCAGCTGCTCCACCTCCCCTCTTTAGTCCTGCTCATTGTCTCTGATGAGGCCCACCAACGTGGTGTCGTTTGCAAACTTCACAATGTGATTGGTGGTGAACCTGGGGACGAAGTCGTGTGACATCAGAGTGAACAGCAGGGGGCTCAGGACGCAGCGCTGAGGGGAGCCTGTGATTGGGGTGATGACATGAGAGGTGGTCTTTCCAACCTTGGAGTGCTGTTTTATGCCGCAGACGGGGTTCACCCGGGACAGGTCGCCAGTCTGATGAAGGAAAACACAGAGACATATAACCATGGAAATACACACTCCTAAGGACAATTTAGAGATGCCAATTAACCTAACAGTGAGGTTTTTGGAATGTGGGAGGAAGCCGGAGTACCCGGAGAGAACCTACGCATGCACAGGGTGAACGTGCAAACTCCATACAGAAAGACGCTACGCCTGGAATTTGACTAGAGCCTTATTTGCTGCAAGGCAACAGTGCAGCAAACTTTGCCACTGTGCATTTCAGAACTTGAGCAATGACTTTCAAATCAAACAGGATCAGATTTGTGGCAGATTTTCCGGCCTGCTCACTTAGTTTTTGGACCAATCCGTTTTTCTTTCAGAACCAAAAATACAAAGATATAACAACAGCTTTACTGCAATGTGTACACAATCATTATTTTTATTAGTAGCATATATGACCTACTGCATGTAAGAGAGCTGTTTCAAAACAGAGTTCTACTACTGTAGTGTTCTAAATAAAGAAAAAAATATCAACTGGTTACCCAGCAACTACTTGTTACCCAGTTGATATTTGGAACGATTTTCAAAATGATATTCTGGGTGTTTGGTTTTGTTGGCACTGCTTTTACAACAATCTCCTTATGTATTCCTCACTAGCTTTGCTCCAGATCCTGCATTTTCCATAATGGACAGTTTGAAAGCTCAAAATGATTAAACACAACAACTTTCCTTTATTGAATTAGAACCGTTCCATTCTCTGCTAAATGTCTTAGCTTTCCTATCTCTCACAAAGTCTTAATTAACTAGAATCATGTCCTTGTATGTCATAGTTAATACAGTCTTCTTTTAAATAGCTTTGATAGGCTTTCTCTGAGTTAATTTTCAAACATCTTACTGATGTAAGGCTGATGTGGGTTATCTCTTATTAAATTAATTTAAGCCTGTTTAAAAATGTCAAAAAGAGAAAATGTCAAAGTGCCCATCCTCTGGAGTAAATCTGCCCTGACAGTAAAGGCAACCACTACCAACCCTGTTAGGATAGATCTCTGAACAAAACAACTATGACCATGTTTATATTCTGAATATTATTTTATACCTAGTCTTCTTATTTCCATGCCTTGTGAAAATTGGCTCTTACCTACAGTTTTATGATGCCTGCCGGAGGCTCTTGGTTTGCTTGAATTTTGTTAACACTTTGCAGTTAAACAAGCCTTCTGTCACTGCCTTCTCCTCCAAAAAGACTGTCAAAGGCCAAAATGTCCAACAAAGGCCATGGGTGTTAACAGGTGGTTTTTGGATTTGCATGCACTTCAGACTTAATTTATTTATTGTAAAAGCATAGACAAAATAATAACTAAAAATGTCTTGCAACTTAGTCAAAATGAAAAATAATGTCAATATAATGTTTGAAGCAATAAAAAAATGGTAAAAAAAAATATTTACAAAACCTTTTGTCCGCACCACACTTTTCCCGAACAACTGACCCCCACCCAGGTGTGTTGTTAATTTAATTGGCCGGTGTGTTCTCAAATTAATGTGAAGCTCTAACAATTAAAGGTATAGAGGACGATCTTTTATTTCTGGGTGGATCATCTAAATAAGTGGTTCTCCTAATTGTCATTCATTCTGGTGATATGTTTACAAAAGGCGGCCCTACAAGCTCATCCCCAGTTAGCAGTGTTGTATTTTGATAGCCATCTTAGATTAAGTCTTAGTCTTAGTCTTCAGGATGAAAACTTTTATTAGTCTTAGTCACATTTTAGTTAAGTTCTCATTATTGTCATGAGCAAATTCAGGCGTATATCTGTGGTGAGCTAAGGTTTCAGACCGTCATTGAAGCTCACCGTTCTCAATGCGGTTCTTTGAAAATGGCAGAAGCTCGTAAGAGAAAAAGTGTCTCCGAAGAGTATGAGAAGAAAAGAAAGGCCTCAGAAGAGGCAGATATATCCCATAATGCTTAGTGCAGCAAGCTCTCCCCGCAAGGCATTGTGGGATTTGCTGTCACAGGGGCCATAGCTTCCATTGGCTGTCGCTACCCAACAGTGGCGACTAATAACAAAGATGGTGCAGGCACCACGCAGTGAACCAATGGAGAAATCGATCATCTGTCCGAACGGTCAGTTAACTAATTTCGCTATAAAGTCCACAGTATATTACCTGCTCTATGTAGTGATTGAGGGATTTAGGGGTTTGGGAAGACAGAACACCAACTTTTAAACAGAGCATGCATGAGGAGACGTGGGCTCGTGCATGCTCTTGTAGATGCATTTTTTTTTTAAGTGGAGACAGCGGGTCTTTTAAAAAAATTCGAGAAAATCCATCACAATACCTTTAACAATATAATCTGAACAATTCCAAAAATAAAAAAATTTATTACAAATGTTTGCTAAATTAGCTAAAATGTATTCTAACTACCCGAAGAAGCTAAATTGGTAGAAATTACTACAAAAATTTAGCATAAATGGCCACAACATCTCCCTTGTCTTCCTGCTAAGAATAAGTCATACTCTCTAAAAGAAACACACCTAGTCAGTTTAAGACATTTTAATCTAATTAACATGTTTTGTTTCATCCAGGGTTGCTTTGTGCAGGCAGGCCTTAAGAAAAATGAAAGAAATCTTTTTACAGCAAATTACTAACTTTTCAACAGGAAATGAGGGCGAAGGCATGTTATCTGTAATTATTGTCTTAGGTTAAGTCATTATAGGTTGAGTTGGTCTGGTAATGAGAGTGCTTAAAGCTGAAAACATATCCTCACTTTGAAGCTAAGTGGCATAAAACCCTCACTGATTGCTCAGTGTCTCTCTGTGTGAATCTTTATTACCGTCAGACAGCAGTTGTTAGAGTCAAAGCGGTCTGGTGGCAAAAAGAAGAGAAAAGATGGACAGATGAAAAAATACATTTGGTGTATAATGTTGTCCTCAATAAACAAAGCATGATAAAGTGCGACATGAAGAGTGAGCGTCTTTAATATGACTGAATTAATGTTGATTGTTATTCATGTTAATTCCTGTTCAAAGCAAAGCACAGAGGCGGGGCAGTAAATAAAGAGATGCCTGCTTTGTGAAGCTGATGTAATGAGGATTTAATGAAACTGCATTTGGCCGTCAAATTATTCCTAGACACTCTTCCTCAGAAATCAGCATATATATAGCCTTTAGTTTTCATACACACTGTCATTTTAAAGAGACGGATGCTAATTTGTACACGGATTCAAATCCCCTGTGATGGAACTGTATTACACTCTATGATTTAGTAAAACATGGGCCGATTTCCACTATATTTCTATTTAGAAGGCATGAATCATTATTTAAACAATTCAAAAACAAATAAATCTACAACTCTGTGTGTGTTTTTCATGTAAATTTTCTATTCCCAGCATGCAGTTTATGGCTCCCAAGATTAATTTCACACTAGCTGTAAGTCTAGCAATACTAATTAAAAGTAAAATCTCAGGTCAGAGCCATTATGTGCTTTCTTCTCTAAGCTGGTATTTGTGTATGTGTGTTTGGGAACATTAATTTTGCTGTGTAGCAGCACCCGTTAAGCCCCCTGAGCAAAGTTTTATTTCCCCCTTAGTGCATTCAATGTTTCCCCATAAACTTTGAGTGTAAAGCCTCTGAAACTCTCATCAACTTTGGTCTGTGGGTTTTTTGTGTGTCTGAACAACAGAATGAGAAAGGATAAAGGAAGGTAAACAGGAACGCTAATTTTTTGTTTGAACACTTGTTGAGAATTGATACAGATATGAAAACAAAACAACAGGGATTCAATTCTTTCTTTTATTCTTCTATTTTTCATCCTAACGATCTAAGGGTTTACTCATGAGTAATGGATAAAAGATTCTAACAGAGCAGGGGAATTACACTACAAAAGCTTAATTAACGGCGCAATAAAAAGCAGAACAGGTAGTTGCAATGTTGCAGAAAACAATCCACAAACCGTCTGTGGACCAAACAGGTCTACTTGTTCTATCCTTTGTCTGTGGTGTACTGGGAGCTTAACCACAGTGCCAAGAGCAGTGTGAGCCACACTTGACAGTTTGAGAACACACTTTTCAAATTGAGTTTAAAGCTGTGGTCAGGTTATCCCCATGGTGAGTCATGGGAACAAAGACACAAAGCAGTGTTGTTATAACTCTGCTCACATTTCTTCATGCAGTTCTTGATTTTCAGTCATTTAAAAAAAAGAATTTCAAAATTAATTTAAAGTTTTTAACTTATATAAATATCTATATGCATATTGTCCCACAATATTTATTTATACTCTGTCAAAGGTTCTAACTTTTTAAGGCTTAAAGGATGTTTATATTTTCAAATATGAGGGGTTTTTTTTATCTCACAACACATTCTTGCCCAATGCTAAAGCCTGCATGAGTAAATATGAGCGAACAACAATCACTAAGCACATTATGTGACAGAGTGATAAAATTAAAACTAGACAGTCAAAACATGCATCACAGGGAGGCATTTCTGCACCATTAGCAAAAAAAAAAAAAAAAAAAAAAAAAAAAAAACACTAACAAACAGCCCATAGTGGCCAGTTTCTGCTAGATTCTCTCAAAGTGTGCCCAGCTTCTCATTCTGTTCATGCTTAACTGCAGAACTTTTGGTTCTGTGGAGAATGGAGACTGTGGCTGTTGCCTGATGTTTTCTGTTCTGATGTAACTGATGGGGGGGTAAAAACTGATCAGTTACTGATCAGTTACTGTTACTGATGCATGTTTTGACTGTCTAGTTTTAATTTTGATCAGTTACTGATCAGTTTTTAGTTACTTATAACTCTTTTTTTTTACCAACAGTTCTCAAGAATCCAACAATTTGAGATTCTGTTTTTCAAGTTTTAAATGTTTAAGCATTAAAATATAATCTACTAAGCTTCATATCAATGCTTGAGATGTATATTAAAGTAATGCCCACAATTTTAATTGAATTAGATAACATGTGTGCACATATAGTTTGAGAATAAAGCTGATTCTGAGACAGGATTTATTAGAACAGCTCAAAAAGAGGGACTTTTGGTGTGTTATACTGCTCTCTTTTAACCTGTGAGAAAGCTTTTTTTTTTTTTTACTATATATTTCAAAAATGCATAGAAAGGTATTTTATTTTTAGGAGCATGTATTGATAAACTACATAAATATTTGTCTTAATAATTGATAATGATTTTGCATTACTTTTTTCACTACCGAGATAAGAGTTTTTTTTACATTCTCCAAGCACGGCATAAAATGTATATTTCTTACTTTCTTTCATTCTAAACTTTTGTTCTCCTACAAGTACCTGTGTGTTGATTTGTCTCCCAACTTATTCCACGTCTACTCTCCCAATTGCATCCTCTTACTCATCAAACCTCCATAACGACACATTCATCCATCAATTTTACTTGTTCTTGTCTGTTTCTTGCTCTGTCTCTATCCCTGTCCATCTCCCAGCAGGTGAAATTGATGGTTACCAACCCAGTAGTTGGAGGAAAATGATTGCACTCAAACACTAGTAGAAAGGTTCTCGCTGTGAGTTAGTGCATGGTAAACCGTGGAACAAAACTAAAGCTTGGTTTAATGTTTTTTTTGCTCATCAGTTAGCCTGTTGTATAATTTATTTTGAGATTTAAGTGGCACTTTTCCTTTTCTGAACAAGTGGGAGCATCAAGTGGGTTGCAAAAGAGGAGTTGGGGTAAAATGTGTTGGTAAATGAGGTTAAAAAAGGAAAGTAAGAACAGAACAAAGTAATCCAACCAAATTAAAGAAATTTTACAGACTCTACATTATTGATAAAAGCTTTAAGCACACTGTTAGTAGCATATACTATTGATCACATCTACAGTGGAAATCAAACCATACTTGCTTGAACAAAAGCTAGACTTTATTTTGTAAACAATTTCTGTATACTAAATATGATGTCCTTGAAAGTGGACTCATATTGTTTTTATAATCCTTTTATGTACACCTGCTTTTCAGTCTGCTATAAAATGTGCCTTAGAGGACATAATGCACCAGCTAACAACTTGCATTATGTGTACCTAAAGAAGAGGGCCCACTAACACACTTTTGACACATGGTTGTGCCAAAAATAAAATCATGCGTCATATCTGTTCTGTTGGTCTACTTTAGTCTGAGGCACATTTAGCCTTTTTGTTTCACAGCAGCAGGGCAACTACAGTAAATAGAGAGTACATGGGACAGGATTGAATTATCTGCTTTGCATGTAGCCAAATCAATACTAAGTGGGGAACAAGAAATATTATCTAATGGATTTCTTCAGAAAGTTACAGTGTGGATTGATCATAGAAAGGTGTCTTGTCTTATTATTTAAATGTTTAGCAGTGACTACATAATGGAGAATATTTTTCAATGTACATGTCATGTACCCCATGTCTTCTCTATAGGAAAGAGTCCCTACCTGATGTTTACAAATCGCCATGAAATCCGTCGCATCGACCTGCTGAAGAGTGAATATACACAGGTCGTTCCCACCCTGAAGAATGCTGTGGCCCTGGATGTTGATGTGTCAACTAACAAGATGTTCTGGTGTGATCTGTTTCACCGCAAAATATACAGGTACATGCAAAAATAAACACACTGTTCTGATAAAGTGTGGCGTTTTAGGGGCAGTCACCAAGGGCTGCATTGAAATGGGGCGCACAGCAGCAGATTTTTCATTTTTTCAGGTTTTTCATCACAATGTTTTTTTTTCTTTGTCTTGCCTTATCAAGGCTGCACTTTAAAAAATGAAATTGTCTAGAGAGCTGTTCTTAACGAAATTTCTTTTTGTTTACACTTGTGTATAAAAAATGACAAAATAAATCTGTCTAAGTCTAGATTTACAAGTGCAGAGAATTGTGTCTGTTTGCTTTCAAAAATGGAGGAAGTTGCCCGAAGAATGACTGTGTTGTCGGTCAAATGGGGCCACATACAGTAGGCCTCTCTTTCTTTAGTAATGCTCTTTCAGCACCTTCTTTGCCTATTGTAAAATAGAAAAGAGTACATCTTCACAAAGAGAGACCATTTCTTTCGGGTCTGTACCCTGGAAGCCACCATGACGAGATGAAGATATGTGGCATAAACAGTGAAACATTATGGCTTATGTTTAGGATAGCTTTGGCTACAGCTGTAGAGATCTCCACTTCAAATAAGGAGAGGCAATGGACATTTGTTTAAGGGGTAAAGTTTTAAATCATGATTAGAAGAGATAATAAAGAGTAAGGTTTTGTTCGTGAGGTGTGGTGACAGCCAATGTTGCCCACAGCCACTGTAACAGGGACATGTCAGAATGAATGCGGCTCAGCAGTTTGTTTCACTATTCTCGATCATGATTTTCTAATAATAATCTATATAGTTAAACAGAAGAACAACTTATGTAAAAGGTTAATGAGAGCACAAAAGACACCCTTTCCCATTTGGATAACTTCTCTCTGCATACTTCACCTGGTCTGCCTTATCATGCCCTCTCATTCATCCATCTTGTCTAGTTCAGCCTGTCAAACCTTCTGTTGGCGAAGCAGACACACCTGCAGGCTTGTGTCATCTGTCCGATAATGGAAGGTGGAGCGGTTTGTCCTTCCTCACACTCATGCCCACACTTTCCCACACATACACACATACTTGGAGATCATAGTTGCTCTGTTTGTGTGGTTGTATTACTATGTGGAGGTTTAATGGCTGGCAGGTAGATCTAGGGGTCTTCTATCATCTCAGCTGAGCCATATGCTTCCTTTAATTTCACCGCATCAATAATCACCATCATTACTCATCTGCATACACACATACACATTCTTCCTCATCAACTCTGTGATACACTCAAGGGCTTGTGACAGAGGAAGGACAAATGAACTCGTTCTTAACAGAGGACTCTATTTTCCAAGCAGTAAATAAGCTCCAGCATCGTAGCTCCTTCTCAGCTAATAGAGTTGTGCAGTTTAACGTGGCCTTATTCTAGCTGGTTTTTTATTCTTCTTTTTCAAATCAATCATTTTGCATTTTATGTTTGAGAGATCTAACCCAGTGGTGGCTGGTGGAGTTTTCTCGAGCGGGGGTGGGGGGGTAAATTCAAAAAAGACCTTTACCAAAAAACAATCAAATATATACTGAGTTATCACACCAGTATATTTATATGAATGACAACAACAAAAAAACATTTTAAAAACACTTTATAAAAGCAAGACATAATTTCATGAACAGGATTACTTTTTGTACATAAATTGTGCCTTTCTGAGGCTTTATGAAGGCAAATCTGTGTTTTGCATGGTCCAATATGGTTCACCAACCTAGAAAAGTAATGTACCAGTTTAATAATAGAGATGATATTAGTAAGCTTTTTATGTTTTTATATATAAGAAATATTCATTTTCTGAGAATGTGTTTAAGAACAACTATGCAAATGAAGAAACACCTAGGAAAAAGTACACTAATATATTATTCTCCATGTGAATACCAGATTGTTCATCCTTCTCTAAAAAGTGCTTTAAATCAGTCCTTCCTGTCTTTATTCAAACTTGGTCAGATTCTGATGCTTGAAAAAGGAGCAGAAAGCAGAATAAAGCGTTAGCCTCGCTACATGCAGTTAGCAAAGGCCTGTAGCTAAACCAGGTCCTGGAAAAAGACCAAGTGTACCTACTCCATCTGTCTTTGGACTGATTAATTTTGATATTCGGCTGATCAGGTCGAAACGGTTTCCTTTGCAATATATTTGTATTACAGAGGAGCTACTGCGCATGTACAACTTTTAATGAGTCGAAAAACGAAATGACGTTACTCGTCATTAAAGATGTAATATTTATCTTGCGCATTTAAAATATATATATCAATATATTTTGAAGTATTTTAATTTTAAAATTTCAATTTGTTTTTTTTTTCAATGTCTTAATCAAGATCATCGGACTGGTAGGGTGGCTCCCTTGCTCCCTCTATTGGCCAGTCGCCACTAATGTACCCACCATCCCTTGTTTTGCATCTTGATGGTTTCCTGCTTGTCCAGTTAACCTGGATCAGTGTTACTGCAGAATAACTCATTTTATCTCAGCTTTGTTATCATATTGCCTTCTGGAAAAATTATACTAGTTCAAAAGCTAATTGTAGCATTTTTAAATTTGCTTTTGGAATGGTTCTTATGAAGTCTGGAATTTGGTTGGAAAAATAAATGCCAGGTCCACAAATAATGGAAAAAGAAAATATTACCTATATTATAGGTGCAAGTATGATTCCTACTTAACTTTATGCCCTTTTCTTGGCCTAAAAGTTCCCAGTCAATTTATCTGTCAGTCCATTTGCCTATATGGCCATTCCTTATCCATCTGCAGTATTTATCAAATTTGTATTTGCTTCCTGATTTTGGTGTTTGCAGAGTCTTTATTTTAATCTAAAAATGTTTTACATTTCTTATGATTAATCATACTTTATTATTCATACTACTTACTTTAGAAGTATTAGTCTTAGAAAAATGCGTCCGTCCAATCAAACACTCAGACATGTATGTTTCACATGACAAAGGGTCGCTACATACTCCTCAAGAAGCAAGAATACACTGAATAATACACACTGAGCCTGGTTCTGCTGGAGGTTTCTTCCTATTAAAAACAAGTTTTTCCACTCCACTGTTTCTACAAGCATGCTTAGTGTGAGGGATTGCTTTCAAGTCAATGAGTCGATGCAATCAACTGGTTTTCCTTACAGTACATAGAAAACTTGAATCAATTTGACTGAAAGATCTGGATGAATTGTCTCTGTAAAGTGCCTTGAGATGACATGTGAAGTGGCGCTGTATAAATAAACTTAATTGAACTGAACTAAACAAGAACAAAAAAGCAGCTCAGCAGCCAAACTCACAGAAAGTCCAATTCCCTGTAACTTTTCACCTGCACCCAGAAGAGTTGTTTTTCAAATTGATGAGGAGTTGGGCGGCAAAATGCTTTATGTCAATTATAACAGGTGTTATACAAATGTTCAGACCACTGCCTTCTATGGCTATTAAATTTCAGATCACTGTACGGATTTCTGCACCTTAAATTAAAGGAGGAATTTCCAGATCCAAAAACAAAAAAAAGAACATCATCTCTTTTCTCCTACTAGCAACAATTGTTATTGGACAACAATAAAGTTCTGCTTAGATGTTCCTTCGATAACAAGCAAGAAAGAAAAATTCTTTCTTGTGAAGTACAGTATGTAGCGGCTTTTAGCTAAAAGGACTTTCCACCTGTTGAAAAAACAACTGATGTTTAAAATTTTAAAAGAAAGGGAACAGATTTAAGCAGTAGCATTAACGCCAAACATTTGTCTGCGATCGTGAATTCTAATGTTCTGATATAAAAATTTAATGCAGAATTACTGGAGAGTTTTTGGTTTTGTGTTTTGCTCCATATTTTTACAGCTCCAGTGCCTGCCCAGATTTAATACTTCACCCTATGGTACACTAGAATAATATGCAATTTAATGCATGCAGCCCTGGACTTCAGTGCTGAAGAGCTCCTTAAGCATGCAATAAGAGAGTTGCAGAAATAAGCAAGCAGATACCATGCTGTGCATAATAATATAGCAGAAAGCAGTGAATTGTATTTGGCTAACAAACAAGGGTTGAATGTGATACTTTTCATGTCTATATAATGATAAAAAAAAGAAAAGAAAAACATTAAACAATCTAAGTAGAGCAGAACAGAAAGGAAAAAAAAAAGTCAGATGCAATCAGAAGCTTCACTGTTTCCATGACAATGTCATATTTTAATAAAGCTGCCCTTTGATAATATATGAAAATAGATTGATCCTGTAGTTTTATTTACCGTAGTTTTTCTATTGCTTTTTTTGTTTTAATTTTATCACATTATCCTTCAAATAGGAAGGTTTAGCAGGACCTAGGAATACACATTTACATACATATTTATTTGGTACGTTTATTCTATTAAATTAACTTTCCTGCAGTAAACTTCCTATTTAATTTCACAGAGAAACTTTGGCCAGTCTTTTCCATCCATTTATTACACCTGCTTAGCATGCAGGCTCACAGTGGTGTTGGTGCGCACCTCCAGCAGATTTTGGGCATGAGGCAGACAAACCCTGGAACAGGCTGCCAGTCTATTAACAGAGCAGCACAGAGACAAGCAGAATAAACAGACATGCATGCACAAACTCAGACCTAATTTAAAGTCATTAGTTTTGAAATGTGAGAAGAAGCCTGAGTGGCAAGAGAAAAAAAAACACACACACACTGGACCCCAGGGTGGGATTTATTATGAGGATTGTTTTGTAACAAAGAAACATTGTCAACAACTGTTATATCCATAATTGTTTATTATATGTTAAGTTCTGACAGTTGTTTCTGTTTCTGAGTCCAAAGTCTTGGCCAAACAATTCAACAAATTCTAAGATTTTTCTTATTCTTCTGTTCTAAATATGTTCCAAAAACTGAAAAGAAATTCAGAAACAAGCAATGGTAATATTTTAAACCATTAGGGTAATGCTATAAACCAGTGGGGGTGTTGCCGTAATGGTTAGAGCAGTGTGCTTGTGCTCTGAGAAGGTTGCAAGTACCTGGTTCAATCCCCACAGCCTCCACTCTGGGTACCCGAGCAAGGCCTGTAAGCCCACACTGCTTCCCGGGAGCTGCACAATGGCAGCCCACTGCTGGCCAATTATTATTATTAGAAAAATTTCTAAAATACATATTCTAATGATTGTTTAGGTTTCAACAAAGCCTTTATTTCATCATTCCAGTGTCAGTGTATGCGTATTTCTCTATCACTGTGATGCGTTTTTTTTTTTTCCATAGTGATTAGCATTCTGTGGGTCAATGTCTTGTTAACTTCTCCCACTAATAGAGATGTTGCAAACAATTGTATGGCCAATTAAAGATGCAATCTGCTCTGAGTTCTTTGCGTAATTTATTGCCAGCTTATTCTGCTGCGCAGCTCTTTGTAATTATTTATGGCCTCGCCTTGTTTTATAGTGTATAAAGCCCAAATGTCCAAATGGGTCCTTGTTTCCTGTCATTGGAATAGAATTGAAATTGTTATATAAAAAAAAAAAAAGTGAAAAAGTCACACTTTGGTATTCTTCAAACTAAAGATTGTCATATCTATAGTTCACATCTAATATTGACCGTAATTGTACAGTTTTGGCATCTGGAAGGATGTAATCCTCATCCATATTGAACACTTAACTTTAAAAAAGAAAATGTCCTCAGGAAGAGACTCTGTTTGGAATTATGTTAAACATGCTTTAGCAAAGAATTTAAAAAAAGAAAGCACTTAGATTATCCGTCATACTGGCACAGGAGCATCCCCACCGCCCGTATACAAAAATGAGTTGGCAAACAGTAACACAGTCAATTAAGTAGACAATCTGCTTCCAGATCCTACTCTCATCCATCTTTGCACCATTTTGCTCACCAGCTTTTCTTACGGTAAAGACGCTTGTCCAAACAACTTCTTCATATGCTTGATTTAAAATGACTTGCTTACATATTTCTATTTCTCTTTTATAAAAGAAAAACAACAGAAAACAACTATTGTTATATTTTCTAATGATGGAAGGAAACTAATCCACTATTCCTGCTTTGAAAAGAGCTGAATTTGTAGGGCTGTTTTTTTCAAAATAAAAAACACAGTAGTCTGTGTGTACTCATAGCAAATACATAAAATGGCAATCATAAAAAGAAAATAATAATGATAATTAACATTAAATGGAAGATATTGGTTTGTTTTGTAACAATGTGCATTTATTTTATTCTCTGCTCATAGTTTGATGCATATGCTCAGTCTGAGTTAAACAGGAATAAGTGTTTCTAATCAACTGGATTAAGGTCTGAGCTTTGACACGGCTGCTCTAACTCATGAGTATGCTGTGATCTATGCTGTGGCTGTTTGGCTGGGCTTCTTGTCCTGCTGAGCATCTTTATCTGCATCTAGTAGGTTTGTTGTTGGTTTTTTAAGCCTGCTTTGTATTAGGCTCTATGCATCCTACCTTAACTTTGACTTCCTCACAACTTTTCCCTTGGTCTCTCTGCTGTTTCTTCAGCTACACAAGCTGTTTATTTACCAATATTTTAAAAAGACACCTCCAGTGTCTCCACGAAATAGCAGTATTTATATTGACATCAAATTAAACACAGGGAGACTAACATATTAGATGGCATGTTGGATTGATAATCTAAATATATCAGCATAAAGGGATTAGGGGGGACAAATGCTTTTACAAAGTGTTGTATATACTGATATACACTGTAAATTTTATTTAATCTGTTTTTGTCTTCTCCCTACAGTGCATACATCAACAAGGCCAGTGACTCTTCACAGCAGGTAACGTTGGTGGACTCTCTCCACTCTCCAGAGGGCCTGGCTGTGGATTGGGTCCACAAAAACATCTATTGGACAGACTCGGGCAACAAGACCATCTCTGTTGCAACGGGAGATGGCAGGAAGAGGAAAGTGCTTATAGCCACTGAGCTCAGTGAGCCAAGGGCCATAGTAGTGGATCCACACCATGGGTGAGAGGAAACTTTTAGAGTTTAGAGACATTTGGACAGGATTTAAGTGAAATGCCCTGAATGAAAAACTGTGACCAAAAGCCCATAGCTCTGATTATTCCCTGCAAACTGTGGACACTGGTTTAACAATAAAAAAGGAAACTAAAGAAACTTCGATTTTCAAGTTGGCCTGGAACATTAAACCTTAGCAAAGCAGTTCTATTTTTAAAGCTGATCCATATGGTGTGTCAGGTAGTTTTAGAATTATATATTTAAATAGAGAATGAGACTTTTTTTCTTCTTTTTAACCAATTTCGCTTCGAATCCAATATCTTGAGCTCCCAAAAGAAATATTTATATGACTATGAAAATCTTGGCTAGCATGAAATGCATGCAAAAGAAACTAAAATTTCTAATTTTCCATTGATAAAAGTTAAAAATGTTCTAAACTTTAGCTCTGAAACTTGAAGGCTTCAAGCACAGTTTAAGCTTTAAACTCGTAACTTTAATAAATGCTGGATCGATAAAATAGAGCTGAACACTCTAAGAAAAGCGGCGGTCTTTGCCCACAACTTCAAAGTCAAAACTATAGATGTGTACATTGCTCAGAAGAATATGCAAAAGTAGAAACCAGTTGTGAATACTACATTTTTTTCTCCTCGATGTAAAAAAAAAAAAAAAATGAAGAGTCAGCCTAGGCCACATTAATAAGAGATGAGAGAACACAAAGTGCTAGTATGTTTTCACATGCCTCTTATACTGTATGGACACGATTTGATCATGTAAAAAAGACCATAACATACATGATTTTATAACTTTTTTCATGTTTAATAGTGATTATTTTTCCTGATATTTTACCACTAAATAATTTAACTTATGCCATCATTCTCTCATTAAAATGGATCAAAATGATTTTAGTTGATCAGTCAAGATAAGGATAAAAAACACACACTGCAGCTTTTAATGGTAAATTATAAATAGACATTAGCAGTCGGATAAGACAAGAAACCAGAAAGTGTTTTTTTCCTGATATATAAAATAGAGGACATTATATAAATTACTCAGACTGTATGACAACAAACTAACACTAAAAGTGAGTTAGTAGTAGAATTTTCAGATTTTTGCTAGCTTTGCTCTGTGTGACAATGATCTCCTATTTTCTCCAAATGTCTGCGTAAGAGTTGAGGTTTCACCCAAAGGAAAACAAAAAAGACAGGACTGCCTAAGGTTTCACCCAAAGGAAAACAAAAAAGACAGGACTGCCTAAGATTTTGTTAAAGACTAAGTTTGGTCTGATATAACCCAACAAGAAATGTTGGACATTTTCCCAAAGTGCAAATTCAGGTCAAAGGTAACGCAGAAAAATCACCAAAGCATAACTTGTAGCAGCAAGTTGTGTGCTGAAAAGAAAGTGGAATATATTTTTTCAATTTATATGTGCATAAGGGGAGTGTTGGCCTTGTGGGATGGAGCAGTGCAGTTGTGCTCTGATAAGGTTGCAAATAACCAGTTCGCTCCCCAAAGCCTCCACTCTGGGTTCCTGACCAAGACCCTTAACCCCCGATTGCTCCCCAAGACGATGGGTCAGAATGCAGGCAACGGATTTCCCCATTGTGGGACAATGAAGGGATTTACATTTACATAAGAGAGACTGACAGTTTAATGTTTGATTTATCTATCCTAAGGGCAATTATATGTTGTAACTTACAGAGTTTTCTTAAGTGAGTTGTTTTATATGCAATCCGTTAATGTGTTCCTTAGATGTGGATCCGTTGTATTTACCTTGGCAATGTATCTTTTCACAGTTTTATGTACTGGTCAGACTGGGGAGATCAAGCCAAAATAGAGAAGGCTGGAATGAATGGAGTTGATCGACAAATTCTGGTGTCTGACCACATTGAGTGGCCCAATGGAATCACTCTAGGTAAGAGACGTGTTCATGCATTCCATTCAGGTAAAACAAGGTGCCCTGAAAACACAGAAAATAATAGTCACTTGAATGCAGAGAAACAAGCATGCAGAGTTACGATAGGTCTAGAGTTGCTCCAACCCAAATAGCTCCCATAGTTATATTTCAGTCTCTATCTGTCTCTCATCAATCAAGCCAGCGAGTGGTCTCTGATTTAATAAGCCAGACACTCTGAGCTGTCAGTACCCACCATCATCCTTTGCAACTCCCTTGGCAGCAAGAGCAAATTTCTCCCAGCTGCCCTTGCCTGGGGAGAAATAAAAGCATACACTCACCTCGATCAGTGGAATCCGGATGTCGCTGCTATATTCATGAAAACAAATTATTTTTAGAAGAAGGCATATCAGAGCGTGGACTCGAGTTGCATTAGTCTCTTGGGGGAATAGGTACATTATTTCACCTTGGTCATTTATTCCATGCACAGCAAACGACTGAGTCAGAAAAGGAGATTGGTGTTTAGTAGTTAAAAAGTGTAGTTTTTTTTAGCTTTCTCTGAAAACTTTTTAGACAGCCAATCTTTGCTTTCATCAGAACTCTATTTCAGAGGCATGTAATCTGTAGACTGTCAAATTATCCTTAACATCACTTTAATGTCAAAAGAAAGAGCAAAGGAGGCCTGCTGGGGCTGTGCTCATGCTCCTGTAACTTGGAGAATTACTGAAACTAAACTAAAATGCCAGAAAAGATCTGCAAGACTAATGAATTTGCTCAAGGGCAAGTATCCCCCACTCTCCACCCCTCCAGCTGTTATATTTAAATCGCATCTGTGTTTTTTCTGCATCGGGCCTCAGCTGTCATGTCAGAGAAGATTGATGGTGCAGCTAGTGAGCCATTACATTTATATACCTCTCACCCTGCACCTTTCTCTGCTAAATGACCTTTTTCCTCTCTCTTCCTCCATTCATTCCTTACTTCTACTTTTGCCCCTCTCTTAATCTCTTTCTGCATCTTTTCAGATTTGTCCAACAGACGTCTCTACTGGGTGGACTCCAAGCTACACCTACTGTCAAGTGTGGATCTGAATGGAGACAACCGCAAAGTGCTGCTATCCTCCCATCACCACCTTGGGCACCCATTCGCCCTCACTGTGTTTGAGGTACAAGAAGAAGTTGGTCTGAATTTTCACAAACCAGTCAGTGGAAGATTATTGCTTTGGTTTGGTTTCCTCAGCCACATACATTTGGCTTCAAAATCAGCAGAGATTTTGATCAGAGCATTTTTGATTCCCTTTATTTTCCCGGATCATACAGAATAATTCATTTTTGTACAATGTTTCTAAACCTAAAGACTCCTGTATCCTCTCTTCTTTACTGTTACATTCCACTCGCCTTGCTGATTGGCTATACTGTACCATTTATGCCATATTATCTTTATTGAAGGTTGATTTGTTGAAAGATTGTGTCTTTGTTTGGGTATTTAGATTACCGATATACCATTGCCAATTTGTGTGATGGAGGACAATTGTTTGATTTTCTGGTATTTGATAATATCTGTGATGCCTTGGACTCTAGTTATGTTCCCTCGGACTTTAGGGGAGAAAGACACACACAGTTATAGAGTCTAAAATATAATTTTATCCCTTGAGAACTGAAATAATTTGAAAAAAAAAAGTAAAAGCTTTTTGTATATGTTCATTATATCGTCTTCAGGAAATACCATTTGATTGAGGTTCTGAAACATTTCCCCTTAAAAAAAAAACGCAAATGCAAAAAAAATATTTATATGGGCAGATAATTCTCATAGCAGTGTGTTTATAGGAATTGTTGGGTGTGAAAATATATGAAGCAAGTGCTTTAGCTATTTTTTAAGACCTTTCTCTTTACTGAACTTAGTCTTCAATTATTTTTCACAGAAAATTATGCTGCATAAAAGATGGATTCATGTTTTTAGGATTTTTAGTCATATTTACTGGGATGAGCAGGTGTAGTTCTATGAATATATGTATTTTAAGTTTATCCACTACATAATCCAAAAAACTCTACATGGTAGACCTCACTAAAATTGATTAAAAAAAAACATGAGACATGATCATTAAATAATCCATATTTTTATCTTTAGAAACAATTTATTTTTTTAATGGGTATGATAAACATTTTTTATGCAGGATTTTGTTTATAAAATAAAGCAAAAAGAAACATACTATAGAATAATTTTTAATCTAATTCCTTTCATGTCACCATCATTTTCTGGGTCTGTCAAACTAGAGCTGCTGGAAGAGTAAAGTAATTTAAACTAGAATTAGCTAAAAAGAAACTGTTAATTCGCTCCATAATGAGTGCAAAGTCGAAATGAGTTTAGAAATCAATAAAACTAATATGTTGTTTTTATTCTGATGAATATAAGCTACTCTAATTTCATTTGGCAAAGATCGATGTGTGGTCGAACAACCCAAAGACAGAAATGAGAGGTTGAAGGTGAAACAGAGAAGAGACAAAATGTTAGAAGTGTTTTCTCCATTCTTCTCTGTGCTGCACATGCTGTGATGATGAGAAGCCGAGCAAAAGGGAGGACATCCATCATGTCTGGTTCAGAGGATGTGTATGAATGTTGTGCTATGTGTGTAAGTGTGAAAAGAACCTGTGTTTTAGATTGCAGTGAAAGTTCACCCTCTGAGATTAATAGCCCTCAGTTGTTCAGCTCTGTGTTCTGTATGGGTTGTGATACAGAACAAATTAAAAATCCTTTATCCATAAAGGAAGTTGTTCTGCTCCCACTAACTTGATCATGAGACATTTGTTTCTGTAGAGCAGTATGTATGAAGCTGAAAACAAAAAAAAAAGAAAAAAAATGTAATTCAGTTAATATATCTCTGGATACGATGAAGATTTTGCTGAACAAACAAGATATTAGAGTATTCATAAAGTTGGAGGACAAAGAAGAGCGCCTGCAGACTACTGGACATACAACATATAAGAGTCTAGAGGGGTGGTTCTGTGTTAGAAGATGCTCAGTAAGGAAAAATATGTTCATTGTCTTTGATGAATGACCTCATTCGCAATTTTTTTTAATCAAGAAAGTTTCTTCTGTCGTAAATGAATTGGAAAGTTGATGTACACAGAGCATATTTAATATGATAGTAATGATAGTAATGTTTCTAAAAAAAAATGTTTGTAGTTGTGTAAAGTTATCTTGTGAATTTCACTGTGTTTCCAAAACTAAAAAAGTATTTCTTGTCATTAATATGGTAAAATCAACCATGCGTTATGTTCTAAAGATATTTTCCTTAACAGAGTTAGATTTAAAGTGAATTATTCTAAGCTAATTAGAGTTTTGATTTATAAGACCTTTACTTTGCTTGTAAAAGGACAGAACCGGAAGTTAGACTTTTTTGAAAATATATATTCAATTCAGTTTATTCATACAGCCGTATTTACAACACATTATCTCTGGGCACTTTGCAGAGACGATTCAACCAGATCCTACTGTCAGACTGGTTTTTTCTAAGAAAAACCAGCTGGTTAGATCAACTCTTCAGCAATCCCTCACATCAAGCATGCTTGTAGCGACAGTAGTGGACTGGGGTTCAAAGAGACAGAAGCAGACATACAGAAAGAAGCAGAGATATCCAAAGGTAACTGTGAACCAGTCGACAAGCAGCCCTGTAAAGGAAATAAACAGCCAGGCAGATGAGCTCCAATCCAGCTCCAATATCAAAGGATGAAAGAGATCACATACAGTTAGTCACAGTCTGAAAAACAGGACTACATTGAAAAACAGGCAGATGTCTAACATCTATAAACAAAGGTGCTTATAGACACCAGGATGGTGTCACAGCCAAATACAAACAGACCAGATGAAGCTTCAGTAATGAGAAAAAGCAGAGAGAGCCTAACATTAGAGGTTGAACTAACCAATGCTGCAGAATATTTAATCATCAAAATTTAAAATGACACAGCTAACCTAACAACTGAATCACATATATGCAAATTTGTCATGATGAAAGAAAATAACCTTTATGTATTATCTTGTAAACATGTTAGCCTTTGCCTATCTATTTTATAAAACTTGTACAATATATAGTCTGAAGTTAGTTACTCTGTTAAAAAAGCTATCTAAATTGCTGATTCAAAATGTGGTACTCCAAACAAGACACATTTAAAGCCAAAAACTCATGGCCCTGCAGTGGTGATGTGGAATTTGACTTGCTAAATGTGGCATTAAGAGAAAAGATCCTAGTTTAAATGCAAATGGGAAAGATGACATTTTGAATTGAGTTTCACTAATCAGTTGCATTGTTATTGAAACAAATAAGACATTTATTAAACCAGGTGGATAAACGCTGCATTATTTTAAATTCTATGGAAAATAGTAAATAACGTTACATATAAGTTTAACATTTTATTACTGCTACAAATGAATATTATTAAATATTTAAATAAAGCCTTATTGCAGTTGTTATTTTTTAATGTGAGCAAATGACAAAGTGTAACTAATTGTTATAAAGGTTATATTGTTCATGACTTTTTATATTAATTAGTATAGAGCCATGTAAATAATGTAACCTTTCATAAAGTGGCTTCTGACCAAATATTAAAAAGGACAAACAGAGAATAGTTTTGTAAAAGTATTAGTACTCTACATCATTCCAGTTCACAGAGAAAGATACACAAACACACAAATCTGCACAGACAGTGTCCACCCCCTGGCTTTATTGCGGCTCCTGAGGAAACATTGATTGCGAAAGCTTTCTCTGAGTAATGTTGTCTATTCCTTTTGGTCGACTATTATTGCAGTTCTTTTTCACCCATTTCTGTTTTGCTTGTGGGCATGGAAGAAAGAGAGAATGAAATGGGTTCTTGAAATAAAAAGATAATGAAATTTGATGTGTTAGGAAAGATGGAGTATGTGCCCCCAGCTTTAGACAAGAATATATGATTTTAACCAGGCTTTATCAGTATGGTATATTTGGCATAGGCTTACATCTAATGCGACTCTTGGGGTTTGAAGTCTTAAATAAGATACCAGAATTGTTGCTGGCTGTAAGAAGCTGAGAATAAAGCAGTTCCTCCTTCCCCCACCTGTTGCTGGGCAGTGGAGGTCAGAGGCTTAGAGAGGTAATTTTTTTTCTTGCTTGTAAGCAGAGAAATTTGCCTATTTGGAAATGTTAAAAAGAAAATAAAGGTTTTGATGGAGCATAGGCCCCAAATAAGTAGCTAATTTCAGTTTTTGTTATGCATCCTAATCTATTAAGTACAACAGAACAAATAAAAGGGGCAATTGTTGACAGAATAGGCATCTAAAGTTATATAGTCTCATGTCTATACAAAAAAGACCAAAAAGTAATGTTTGTAAGATGAATTTATCTATAACAAATGTCTGTCCCAATTTGTGCTTTAATGTATTCTATCCATCCATCCATTTTCTGACACGCTTAATCCCAAGTGGGGTTGTGAGGGGTGCTGGTGCTGGTGCCTATCTCCAGCTGTTTACGGGTGAGAGGCGGGGTACAACCTGGACAGGTCGCCAGTCCATCGCAGGGCAACACAGAGACAAACAGCACAAACAACCATTCATAGACACACTCACACCTAAGGAGAATTTAGAGAATCCAATTAACCTAACAGTCATGTTTTTGACTGTGGACTGCGGGAGAAAGCCAGAGTACCTGGAAAGAACCCACGGATGCTCAGCGAGAACATGCAAAGGCCCTGAAAGACCCCAGGCCGGGAATCTAACCCTTTTCCGCCTGTCCCTTCATCCGTCCCTCCATCCTTCTGTGGTGTCTAGCATTTTTAATTAGAATGGAATGTTAACATAGCATTTCTTAGACTGGTATCGGTATTAGTAAGGATGTGTATTCACATCCACAGCTTTAGCTCCCTCTGCAGTAAACAAAAACATCCATACTATATTTCGAGTGCTGTGCGATTTTTATGCTTCTTGGAATCCAATTTTTGTTTCTTTTTTTTTTGTCCTTTTGCATACATATTTTACATTTCTTCATTATTTTCACAACTCCACTGGGAGTTTCACACTCGCCTGTCTCCGTTGCTTTGCGTTGCTTACCAATTACGTCTATGCACAACGTTACACACCATGTTGTTATGGTAAACATAAACAAAAGGCTTTATTAAATAACAAATTGATGGAAAACAAAGTATAACGTGCATAAATAACAAGTGATACACCAGCAGGACAGAAGTTATTTTAAAGAACAACTTTGTATTCTCTTGGAGTGAGCTACTACCATATTTTGCCACTTCAACACTACAGATAGGGTTATAACCAGTTGAATTTTACAGTGTGGACAAATCTCTCATAATGAACCTCTTTAAGTCTGGCTTAAACTACATTTTAGGCTTATTGACTATTAGTCCACTGTATTTGTCTAAGTCAAAATGTGATTTCTGAGACAGAAGCCTGTTTTCTATTAATCATTTCATATGTGAAGTAGGAGCCAGGGCTTTGATGTGATGCAACAACATTTGCTCAGGAGAGTCTCCTTTGCACATTCGGGTATAAGTTCGACAAATGAAAGGGTCACCTTGATCATACAATTCAAAACCACACTCATTTGGCTTGCATACTACTGCATACTACATGCTACTTGAAGGCCTCAAGGTCAGAAAAATGACATTTGAAATGACTGATGGAAGAGAATCTGATAAAGAATAAAGGTTGAGGCTGACAGTTTGTGAAAGGTATCCATAGAGAGTAAGAGATGAGATTAGAGATGGAATAAAATATCTGAGAATGGTTTTATCAGCATTGCTGATATTTATCTTTCATTGTTTCAGCATCAATGTCATAAGAGTAAAGGTTATCTCTATCCAAGTGCAGAAGATTGAGTCAAGCAAAGCTTGTGCAGAGATCAAAAAGGGAATGGTGGAGAAAAGGTTAAATCTACTGATAATCCAGCACAAACAAAAAGAAGAGAAATCCGCTGTGTTTGAAACGCAAACAAGGATACACTTTGACACACCTCACCAATCTTTGCTGAACCCCTGCTGTTCCTCTCCTCAGCTATCAGGAAAAAACGGATAGCTTATTTTTGTAGCTGTTTTCTCTCTCCCATGTGCACCGTTTTAAATTTCTATACATGCTGTTTAAAAGCTTTCTTTTTGGTGCTTTTACTTGACTTTGTTGTTCTGGTCTTGCACCATTTATATATTTTCTTCTGAAAAAATGGCAGAACAGTTTTTAGATGCATCTCCCTTGTTTGTTGATGCTTTAATGTTTTTCTTTTAGAGGTTTCTGATAAATTATTTAAAGTTATTACAGAAAAAGGAAATCATTGCCTTCACCTCACATGTCACGGCGTTGCCTTTTTAGTCTAGGCTAAACATTATTGTGCCTAATAATCCATCCATTTTCTTCCATTTATCCTTTAGGGTTTCAGGCTGTCTATGGCCAATGGGTGCACCCTGCATAGGTTGCCAGTCTATTGCAGGGTTTTTTCATTCATCGAGCATAAAAAATGCAGTCTACCATTTTGAAAGCATGAACCTTTTTATGTTTTGTTTTGTTGGGGTTTTTTTTGTTTGTTTGTTTTTTTTCACCTTTTGTCTTGTCCCAATCAAATATTGTTTTAAATGTATCACAGTGAAGGAGCTGGATATGCTATGGCATTTTTTATTTTATTTTTTCTGTTTGTCGGTTATTTATTTATTAAGTGTTTCTTTTTTCCCCACTTGCATTTCCCTGTTACTTTGTGTTTGTCCATTAGATATATTTCCAACGCAATACACCAGTGGTTTTGATTAGGACAAGACAAAAGGTGAAAAAAAACAAAAAAAACAATTGAGTTCAGAGGTCCTCTAATTAAATAGGGTAAATCCAATTTCCTGCTATCTAATCTCAAACTAGCAGTTCTACTAAGGTCTTAGATTTTTGTTTTGTTTTGTGGGTTTTTACAAAAGAGGTTTAGAATAACTGGAGAGGTTTTAAAGATTTAGTGAGATAATTCCTTAACAGGACTACTCCTAGTTAGAGATTCAACAAATCTGTTACTTGTAATAGAATAGCAGAAAAACAAGAACAGACATAAAACATCCCATTTAAGGTTGGCAATCATAAGACATAAAGCAGGCATAGTTAGTCAAGTGAGACAAACATTTTACTTTTTTGTTTGACCAGCAAGGCAGTAACCATAAGGATTGAAATTGAATAGTTAAAGTCTAAGCAGTCTCATGTTAAAATTCTACAGACCTATATCTTATTCAGAATCTATGGTCATTCTTAAAAAAAAAAATCACCCAAATTGTGTTTTTTTCTGTTTTTTTCTAAGTTTCTCTAAGTTAACAGATGTTTGGAGAAGAATTGGTACTTACAAGAACAATTGGGAAAGTAGGGCTAATCATTAAATAAGCTGCAATGGGCAAAAGAAATGTTGTAAAATGTGGTTAATACTGAGGAACCTAATGACCAATGAATAACGTGTGTCTGGAAGACGCTAAGGCCAGAAAGGTAAAGAGGCAATAACTGTAAATAATGGGGAGCTAAAAATCTTTGATAACTATACATTTCATATTCAAATATGTTTTTACTCAAAATTACTGAAGTGTACAGCATTTTTAAAACGCCAATAATCATAAAATAGGTTGAGGTAACAACTGTTTTTGAAAGCTGAAAAACTTTAAAAAAATAATCATGTATAAAGTGCATGGATTTAAATGTTTTGTCAGACCATTTAAAGCAGAATAACCTCATCACACTTCGGAGCAATATTTTGACTGATCAGAGTCCATAAAATGGTTTATTTGTGTGTAGATGAAGTTGAACAGTTAGTTGTTGTTGAAAATATTTGCTGCCATCAAAATAGATTATTTTATTTTTTTTAGGGGGCTTTCATCAGTTAAAAGCAATAAACATTAAAATGAACAGTAATTACTAGTGTTGCGCCAATGCCATTTTTGGCCTTGATACCGATACCCGATACCTGGCTGTGCAGTATCGGCTGATACCATACCGATACCATCTGTTTGAAATTCATGTGTGTCTATATATGAAGAATTGCATTTTACTTGGCTGTATAATAATTGCCATCATGGCTTTGTCAAGTTACAGCCTACATCTGTTAAGCAGGAAAAAGACTAATACAAAGTGAATCCAGTAGAACTTTTTATTGCCTACCTGAAATGGGTGACAATAGTTCAATAAACATTTGGCTCTCAAAATGGTATCGGCGCCCTATTTGTCAGTACTCTCCAGTACCGATACCACCATTTTAGTGCAGTATCGGGGCCCTCCCTGATACTGGTATCGGTATTTGTGCAACCCTACTAATTACTACATTAAATACAATTTTGCGACTCATGAATCTATTTATTTTATTTTTCACTGGACAACCTGAAGAAGATTTTTTTAGGACGTTTTGAGTAACTGAGACCCCCAAGATGTATTGAGAACTGTTTTAGGAATGGAGCAGCCTGCTGTACTTTTCTTTTTAACAGTCATCTCTTTTAACACAGGATCGAATATACTGGACAGACTTAGAGGATGAAGCCATTTACAGCGCCAACCGGCTGACGGGACACGATGTGACAAAGGTAGCAGAGGATCTTAACAATCCGCTGGACCTTGTTGTCTTCCATGAGCAGAGGCAGCCCAAAGGTAAACAGAAAAAATAAAAAATCATCCACAAGTTCTTTTTATATGGTATGTATCTTTTAAAGAGACAGGACACACAGCACAGTTCATTGAGGACGAGAAGCAATGCGAGTCGGTGTGTGTGTTAATTCACTGACTGGCAGCAAAACAAATCAGTGATGGTCAAATGACAAAAGGCTGTTTGATCTCAGAAAACCTTATTATCTGCACTATAGATGTTAAGATTAACTTATTAAAACTCTTTGAAAGAAAGAACAAAAAGCTTTGTCGATCAGATTCATGGTTGTGTTAAAAATGTTAAATGATGTGTTAAGAATTAGCATTTCTGAAGTGTTTTGGGTGCATGTGTTTGTAAAGCAGTGCATTTTCAGACAGTGAGTCTGTTTTCATGATTAGTTTTTTCTCCTCATTAAGCCCTCAAAGCAGTGTGTTTGCCAATTGAGGACTAATTTCATCCTTTTATTAATATATCAAACAATATTCCAGAAATGAACATGATCACTTTCTAAATGCCAACAAAATAAACAAATGAAACTGAACTAAGCAAGCTTGAAGGGAGTTAAAAGAAAATTAACACTGCAGCCCTGGTAACTTTGATATATATATATATATATATATATATATATATATATATATATATATATATATATATATATATATATATATATATATATATATATATATATATATATATATATATATATATATATATATATATATATATATATATATATATACAGAGAGAGAGAGAGAGAGAGAGTGACCTTGACTGTATCAGTATCAGCGTTTTCTTTTCTCATGTGAATATATCATTTTCCCTAACTACTTCCTTTGATATATTTTTCTAATAGGCTTCCCCTTTATAACTGGTATTTTTCTGGAAGGTCTCCTTGTTATTTAATGAACTGCAGCGTGTTTACAAGGATGTAATTGGTCGGTTGTTATAGTCTTAATTTTTCTTATTCCATTTAATTTTATTTACGAGAAACATTTGAACAATGTTTATCTTCGAAGACAAAAAAATCAAATAAAACATAGAGCATAACCAATTCAGTCAAGTTCCTTTGTTTTTAAAGACGACAAAAGACACTTCAGAGAACTGTCAAATTCAAACAACGGCTACTAGAGCTACTTATTTTAATTAAATATCTGCTGTCTAAAAAAAACAAACACTTTTCAAAAACAGCTTTTTTTTTGCTTGTTTGTTCTTGTATTTTTTCTTAACACAGGCGTAGATTTTTTTCATTTATTTCACAGAAAATAGAGGAAGAAAATCTACTGACATGGAGGACAGGGTGAGAAGATCCAGGGTTCATTTTAGTGGCATCCCTAGAAATGATGACAAAAAATCCCTTCAACTCCTTGTGACAGAAGTATTATATAACAATAAAGCTGTGTTCTTTGGAGATTTGGTTTAGGCTCTGTTACTGTGCACGTCTCTTTGTGCACAAGAAAGAAAAAAATTATGTCCAGGCTTGTGACGGTTCCCGGCGTTTTAAGTTTGCTGTTTTTTGTAGTTTTTTTTTTGCTCAGACTGTAGATATTAGAAAATTTAATTTTTTTCTTTAAAATGCTAAATTAATTTCTTATCTTGATGTACAAATGAAGACACCCATTATGGGTTATAGGTTGGCTCTGCAATCTTTACCATGTAAAGAGACGTGAGCCTCTTTCACATTATTTTATCCCAAGGAAAACAGAAACTCATAGACAATGATCAAAATACCCTGACACTTATAAACTCAAAAGCTGTTTTACATGAAAGACCTCTTAATTTGAATGAGTGTCACTGATTTCTCTATAAATGCAGTTAGGTATTAATGTGGTATGTTTTCTCACTGAAAGCTTGCCAATATTTGTGAAAATCGCTCAACCTTGTATCCTTTCAGTATTGATCCTGAAAACTGAGCATAAATATGCTTCCTATGTGTCAAAACTTGAGCAGTGAGTGGCACTGATCTTGATTATTCCCTAAGAACTCCAGATCTATATAACAAGAAAGAAACAGGAAATTAAAGGTTAAAACAAGTGCAACCTGACCTATTTCAGGTGCTTTACCACACAACCAGCAAATCAAAAAAAATGTCCATGAGTCTGCATTGAGGTCTAAAAGACTCCATTTAAATATTGTATGGTTGTGTAGAATATTTAAAACGGTCTTTGAGCTTTTGCCTGCAAATGAGCACTTTCACAGTGCCCTTTATAACTAATATGAATATTTGAACTCTTTTCATATTTTGTTACCTTAAAGCCACAAACCTTAGAACATTTTATTTTTTTTCTGTGATTGCTTAAAAAAACAGGACAGAATTGTGAATTGGAAAAAAATATATATTTATTGCTTCTCAATGGCAAAGTAGGCTGCTCAGTGGAATATTGGTAGCACTGCTGCCTTGCAACAAGAAGGTTTTGGGTTCGATTCCCGGCTCGGGGTCTTTCTGTATGGATTTCGGATGATCTCCCTGAGCATGCATGGGTTCTCTCAGGGCACTCTGGCTTCTCTAAATTCTCCTTAGGTGTGAGTGTGTCTATGAATGGTTGTTTGTCCTGTTTGTCTCTGTGTTGCCCTGCGATGGACTGGCGACCTGTCCAGGGTGTACCTCGCCCGCAGACAGCTGGCGATAGACACCAGCACCCCTTGCGACTCCAATTGGGACAAGCGTGTCAGATGAATGATGGAATATATTTATTTTATTTTTTTAGCATGTCATCAAATCTTAGATTACAACCAGAACTACAACAACTGGTTTATATTATAATATATTGATGTGTTAGAAGTTGAAGTCCACTTTTAATAATATGAGTCAAGAATTTACACACTTTTGGCAGATGCTCTATATTCATACTGAGACTGAAATATTATAAGAATTAACAAAAAAAAAATAATTGCAGCAGAAAAAACAGAGTCCAGAGGTATTAATTGTTTTTCAATGCTCTGATTAATTATGCTGATTAACTGCTGTGTAAATAAAGGAATTATGGACGCAGATCTCCCACTGTTAAAGATATCTTAAAGCTTTGTTCAGAGTTAAACTTTTAAATATGTGTATCATCTATGGCTCATATGTTTTTCATTGTTGGATCATCTAAATGTTTAGATGTATGAAGGCTTCTGGAATTCTTGACCTTCCATCCAGTGAAGCACAATAACAAACTTATATATGTTGTAACATTAATTTCAAGTTGGTTATAATATTTTATTATACTTTTTTTTTTGTCTCCTAAGCCCCTGACACCTGCAATATGGGAACTTTACCAAACGGGGGCTGTGAGTATCTCTGTTTAAAGGCTCCTCAGATCACAGACCACTCTCCAAAGTACACCTGCGCCTGTCCCGATGGTATGGAGCTCGGTCCAGACATGAGACGCTGTGTTGTAGGTATGTCCCCTCAACCCAATGAATCATACCGTCCAGAGACCCGCGTAATAGAAGGAACTGTACAAGATAATGTCACTGGAGACGGGCACTGCTGTAATAACATATCACATATGGTGATGGAGTGTCTTTTTAAACAGCTATTAAGCTGCTAAGGAGGGTTCTCATACACACAACGATAACTTTAAAGCAAAGTCTTAATTGCATCTATAAAAGCATGTTCATCTTTTGCATGTAAGGTTCTCTTAGGGTTTTATTTATGTCATTTCAGTGATAGCTGAAAGTAAAGTCCCAGCTGTTAAATGGAAAGCAGCTGGTTTAACAGTTAAACTTTTATGTTTACTGACATAAAAATATCTTAATGACAAGTTGGCCTATTCAAACGCAGTTTGCCTTATGCTGCCTCTATGCTGTGTGATGCACCCAAAGTGTTTGCGTTGATTGTAATGAAATTAAATGCAGTCGTCTCCAAAAAAGAGGAAACTATTCCAGTAAATGGGTCAGAGATTCTTCTTGTGTGTCCCCAAGACAACTCCATTATTTCACTGACCCTATTTCGCAGCTCGGTTCGTCCACTGACTCTATGGAGTCGCAACATTTGTGGGGTTGTTATCCTTAATAGAGCCGCTCTGTTTTCACACAGCACACTTTAGCAGGTGAGGCACAGGCAGCTGACTCAGGGAAAAGGGAGAATGAGATGATTATGATGTATGTGGGCCATCATTCAGTGTTGCTCTGGGAGGGGACGGGGGGATGGTTGAGCACTGAATGCACACGGACTGGAAGCTTTAGATTTCTTTTTAAAATACAAGAACTGCTGCTGAGCTGTCACTTTTTATGGAGTAAAACTAAATTTCAACACCTCTTCTCGGCTGCTTTAAATGTCTACAGCTTGAAGCAGTAAAATTACCTAAAAGTACCAAACACATTAGAGCATATGCAGAAAAGGTGATCAGACAAAGGCATTATGACTTTAGATTAAATGATGCAGCTTTTGTTGTTTGTTAGTTTTTGGGACCAGTGGGGGGGGGGGGGGGGGGGGGGGGAATCTTTCAAAGTCTGGTTTTCTCAAAGCTCATAACATCTAACATAAATCTAAATGTAATCGAATCTGCAGCTCTAAGCATAGCTGGAAAGAAAGAGTCTGTGGAGACATTAAAAAATCTATTAAAAGCCAAAACTTTCTCCAACTTGGTGTAAGAAATGTTTAACTGTTTATTTATTTTGACAACCAAATGTAGCAGCCAGTAAGAGAAATCTGCTTCTATGACTGACTGCTAACTTACCAAGTAGTAAAATATATTTATTTGCTTTACATTACAAGCTTAAACATCCTTTGCTTAAATAATCGGCACCTGCTAAAGCAAATATTTGTTTAAGCAGTTCTAAAGCTGTAGAAACAGCTAAATTATGATATAATGGCTTTTGTAAGGATCTACAGTAATAGTATATGACATTTTAAATTGAGCTGTACTTGTTGAGTTTTTTTTTTTTTTTTTTGCAGCACCATAATGGAAAACCAGGAAAACAAGCAAAATGTCAGTATTAGAAATGTGGATCTCCACATACCTTATCTTTGGCTAAAAGTTGGTGCAAAATGTATTTATCAGGTTTAGAACAAAATTGGGCAAGTATGCTGGGTAAGGCTGCTAAAAGTGTCATTATACATAATAAAATTAGTCTTGTGCTGACATGGGCTGAAATGACATTCTGAGAGTAAAAAGATGGTTCTCCAATATATATATAAGCCAGCTTAGGATCTCCGAATGCTTAGGTAAAGAAAAATAATCTTTTGGAAGTATTCTGTGGTTTAAAGAGTCTAAAATTAAAATATTTGACCCTAAAGTTCTTTGTTACCTGCTAGCTTGAATTTTAAGTCTGAAGTACAAAGGATAATATTTACATAAAGGTTTCTTCATAAAAGGCTCAGTTGCCTCATGAGCCTTTTAATTTTAGTTTTACTAGCCCTATAAATATAGCAAAGGCCAGCAATACATACTTTATTTTCAGTAAAATTAAATCAAGACCAATTACTAATTATTACACTGTTAGAGATAGATGTGGTTAAATATTAACTGTGTTCTTTATGTATGCTTTATGTTAGATGGTTTGGAGACTATGTTGTTAAATGTTAATTTTGGGTGCAGGAATCTGCAGATTTCGGCTTTGAGGAGAGCCAAGCATAGCTGGAATGCTGAGTAAGCTTTCTATTCTATCATAGATAAGCAAGATATGTAGATACTATAGGAGCGACAGGGCATTGCTTGGGGCCCACTCTTTGTCTGCTCTCTTTGAGAGCAAACATGGAGGTTTAGTCACGCAGTTCTAAGGTAAAATTATTCTCTGCTTATGTGCTTAGTATCAATGATTTTGTTATAAATGACAACAATGAGTTCTATTAATATGTAGAGATGTGTTTCCCCTTTATGCATTACTCTGAGAACTTCCCCTCGCCAATGAAAGAATCTTGTTCAAGCAACACTTGCACTTTATAAATTTAAAATAATTAAAGTAAAAGAAAATAGGCTGAATAGCATGCAATACTGGTTCCCTTACAAACAGATACTCTCAGAATATTGATGTTTTTGTATCTTTTCATATGTGTCTTGGTGTTTCAAAAGAACTGTTTAATTTATTATTATTTTTTATTTTTAATTAAAAAAGAGAATCCAAATCCTTTCGCAGTCTAAAGTAAAAAGTACTCCTTATTGTCTTTTGTTTTGTTTTATTTCCAGTTCGAATCAGGACAACCACCACTGCTGCCCCAACCACCACCACAACAACTACAACAACAACAACCACTACCACCCCAGCTACCAGCACCACCACCACAACTCCCACAACCATTGAAACTTCCACCTCTGCTGCCCCCCCACCAAGGTCCACAGTCAGGCATTACATGACAGCAACAACTTCTCAGACCCCCAGTAACAGCAGGAGTACAGAGCCATCCGTGACACAAGCTGCCACAAGCACAGAAACAACCAGTTTGAGCAGCAACATTCAGACGTCCCCACACACACCCTTACTAGGACCAGTGGCCCCAGACAGCATTCAAAGAGAGACCAATGCTAACCTTTCCCACAGAGGTATGTATGATGGTGAGCTGGACTGTGTTTGAAGTGAAGGCACAGTGTGTGTGTGTGAAGCCACGCTATTATTACCACCTGCCATTATGGCAGCAGGAAGCTAAAAACCAATATTCCCATCAGCCGCCTTCCCTTCTCCTTCATCTCTCCTTCTGACCATCTGTCTATCTGCTGTGTGACCTCTTCTTGTTCTCTTTTTTCTCACTTATTCACAGCAAATCCCTCTCAAGTAAATGCCTTAGCCTTTTTATTCCTATTCCCTTGTCACCAGTCTGACAAAGGTGTCAGAGCTAACAAACGATAGTTGGCTGGAATTTAAACAGTCACTGCTCATCACTCTTCCTTACTTTGTGACTCTTCCTCTTTCTGTTTCTGTCTTTCTATTGTGAAGACTTGACATGTTTTTCATACGGACAACAGAGAGCATTAACTGGATTTGGAGACAACAGGTTTAAACACCATTATTAAGTGTTTACAAAGTAATGCAGATATAATACTTGAATTTGGATGCAGAAACTAAACATTGCAAAGTTAAAGTGAGGGTCTACTGTGCTGTAGATCATGTGTCATCATGTCTGACTTCACATCATAAGGTTTTCTCAGTGTCAAGTTTTCAAAAGACCTATTTCTTGTTCTCAAGTTCTGTATTCTTCGACTGTAGAAGCAAACGATTTGTATTCAGACGGGATTTCAATGGAGCATGACATCTTAAAATAAACTAGAATACCTTTCAGCACATTTCTGCGAGGCAGACAAAAATTTATTTAAGAATTTTGATTGGGGATATTTTTCTGAAAAAAAAGAAAGATAGATATAGATATGTATGGATAAATGGAGAGATGGATATATATATATGCTTATTAGCAATACTTGCACACACTAAAGGACATTGATGTGGAAGAAAACATCACATTTATGTGGGATGTTTGGAGCATCATTTATATTGATTTCTAATTGATAACCTTATCTATTCAGAGGATTGTTACTCATCCACATCAGTTCCAAAACCAAATCCAAACCGAAATTTATACAACTAAATCTGTTTGGTTGTTTTAAAATGGATAATTAAAGTGGATAATTTTGTTTTAATACAGTAACCTTTCCAGACAGCAGTGGACAGATGAACCTCAGTTCTACAGTCAAAAAAAAAAAAAAATATGAGGCAAAAAAAAATTTTAAACTGTCTGTGCCTCTTAACATAAACATATAGCACTCTGTTGTACGTATTGCATTGTCTCCAGCAGTACCGGGCTACTGCTGATTTATTGGTCAAGTAAAAAAAAATCCATAGCAATAAAACGGCAACCTTTTAAAATGGCACATACATCTAAGCCTAAGTTTTTCATACCATTGATAGATTAGGCTTTAAAGCAGTCTTTTCATTTTACTAACATGTTTCTTCATTGCTAAAGTATTAATGTATTGGAGATGTGATGTGAATCCTATAGAGGTGTTGGAGGAATCTAAGGAATAGAGTCCTTCAAAGCATAAAGATCTCAAGCTCCTTACCATCAAGGCAACTTGCAAAAGTAAATAATGAAAATAATTTTAGATTTCAATCAGCCAGCAGAATGACTCCTTTTTATATACAGTATGCCACCACTGCAAAAGTCAAGGACAGTACAGTCAAGGTGTTGTTGCTGCTGGCACACTGTTTCTTATCTTGTCAAATAACAAATTATATCTAAAAACAGGTGTTATTGGCTGAAATGAAACATAACATTTATTGTATGCACCACAAACCTTGTGTGAACTCATATAAGGTCATAAATACTCCATTTTGGTAGCAGAACATGCACTTTATTGATCATTACATTTCCAGCTTTAACAGTATAAAGCATTTTCTTTAGTTAAAGTTGCTGCCATTTATTTACCCTCTGCAATTCAGCTACAAGATGTCACAAAATTCTTCAACTAGATTAGATAATAATATTAGTGTTGCATGAAGTCAAAGAGAGTCATTATTATGAGAGAAAAAAAATCAGTTTTCCATGAATAGCTTTTCACAGATTTTAACTTTTTTTTTAACTTATGCTTCAAGTTTAACAAGCAGTTCATAAATCTCACTTTTCTCTGATTCAAATAAAAAACTGAAAGTTACTTGTAGACACTTTCAGGTGTGGCCAAGGAGAAAAGGATCTTGGCTATAACTGAAAAGAGATTGAGCACTTAGAAAAAATGCACTAAAAATAAGGTCTGTATATGTCATAAAGGCTGCCTGTGGCCTTTAGCAAAAGGATAAAACATAAAGGGAACAAGGACATCAATGGATTTTAATAAAGTATCTTATTTTCTATGTCTTTTTTAAACTCTTGATTACTTGATATTCTGAGCTGAATATTTAACTAAAAGCACAGATTGTCCATAAATGATATTAATGAATAAACCAAATTGAAAAGGAAAGAGACCACAGATATATAAAACATTGGTTGGTGTGACTGAAAGAAAAAAAACATACAGCTACAAAGATAAGAACTGATGGGATGGAAAAAAGTTAAGGGTGGAAGTGATTTCCTAGGAATTAGAAAGTAAGCCAGCTGCATCACTTTAGGGGCTTTGTTTTCAAGAGGCCCAAAGACGCAAGGCAGTGTTTGTCTCCAAGTCTCTGAAGCTGTCAGCTTTCTCTCTGCTCCACAAATGCAACACATAAGACACGCACTAAAAAAAAATGGGGCACGAAAAACATGTGTCTGGAAACCCATGAGTTACAATTTTCAAGTCGGTGAGCACTGTCAAGTCTGTCTGCATCAGCTGGTTTACATGTACCACTCTGGGACAGGTGTGGTAAAGCCAGAGATTAAGGAAAAGACATCATAAAAGTCTTAGATTTGAACCCTCCACCTTTATCTTGTAATAGGTCATCTTTTAGCTAGATTTGTTACCTAATGAAAACGAAAACAGGTATTAGTTGTTTTATTAAAGGTATAGTGGATTTTCATGATAAACCTTTTTTATTCCACCTAAAAAAAAAGAAATGCACACGCACACCCCTGTACCCGCTCCCGAGAGTAAACGTCTATTAAACACACGCGAGAGCATGCACGAGCCCATTTCTTCTTGTGCTTGCTCTGTTTAAAAGTTGCTGTTTGCATCGTTCATACAAGCTTACTTTCCAAAAGAAGATTTGCAATTTTTCCACTTTGTCAGACTCACCACCGCTAATTGAAAATGAGGACGAGCACGTAGGACGTCCTTATTTAAACATATCACCAGAATGATTGACAATTAGGAGGACCACTTATTTTGATGATCCACCTGGAAAATAAACATCCTCCACTATACCTTAAAGTCCTGTCCTTAAAGAGGCTTTACGGAGTTTTCCAATTATACAGCCACTTGTGGCCAAAAAATAGACCTGCAGCACTCTACTGCTAATTCTCGTAGCTGTCACTTGTCCTTAACTTAACCTTACCTGGAGTTGCCATTGGTGCCTGAGTTTAGCTGGATGCAGGTCACTTCTGAGCATCCACAAAATTCCTTTGCAATATATTGCTTTGATTGTTTGCTAGGTCAGACCTATTTACAATGACGTCACATCCACAAAAACGCAGTAACTTCTGACCCGAAGTAAATTAAGGAAAATAGACTAGAGGCTTTAAAAGGCAACGGCACTAAACTACTAAGGTATCGATCTGAACAAATTATGTTTTTGTTGTAAAGGGTCATATAAAAAGGCTAGTTTGAAGACATTATTCAGTAAAAACGTACATAATGTGAAAACTTTTGTAAAAGCTCAATTGTTAAATCTAACCACCTGTTATTGTTCTCATCTCCAAATGGCTCTTATCGATCTGTTTTTTAAAGAAACTTTATACAGTACACTGGATTTTTCTTCTATATATTTTAATGTGTAAACATATCAATAGGAAGTTTTATTTGTTATTTACTGTCCATCATTTATAGTCTCAATTGTAGTGAAGCATTACTCTTTCCGTTACTGCCTGCTACCCAGGCCTCCGCCTACTATAACAGCTTGTTTATTTAATAAGATTTTTTCAATCCATCTTATGGAAATTTAGATCCATTGGACATCGTCATACTTTAGCAAAAGACTAGATCCTATCCTCTGACTCAGAATTTGCTGGTATTGGAGTGCTGTCTAGAATAGTCTATTCAAATGTTTAAATATGTGACTTTTTTTATTTATGTATTAATTGCATTAGATAAAGTAATGTTTTTCATATGTAAGCTGTCGTTGGTGCCTTTTTTTATGCACAGAACGTCATGGCTTCTTTCTAGAATGAGCCAATCAGTATGCTGAGCAAGCAATGTGATCTGTTCTGCTAATCTTCCTCACTTGACTTTACTCTAGCCATCTGATCACACTTTGGCAAAACGTGAGCCTGCTGTTAATAGTCAGATTTAGAGAGGGGTTAGTACCTAAGCTCCTGTAAGAACCATATGGGTTAAGAGCTGATGGTAAGTGGAGACTCAAAAGCATGTTTAGAATTTGGCATCAACTATTCATATATCAAAGTTTTAAAAAGTTACTTTCAAAACTGGTGTTTATACATCCTTTTCATTCATGCATGTTCAAGTGCTTTTATTGAGATGTCGGAGAACGTGCCTGAAATGAACAGATGTTTTTGTATAGAGGACAGCCTGCCCTCCTCTGATGTAAACTATCTTTCTTTAACTGCTTTTCATAAGGCCAGTTTGACATGGTCCAATAGAACCATAGGTCTAGTGAGAACAGCTCTGAGCTTCCACAGTGGGTCGCCTGCCATATTAAAATGAAACATCCAAGAGGATTCTGAGATCCTTATGCTAAAGTAGTTATTCAGACAGTTAATATTAAATTCCCAATTAATTGTATCATTTTTATTTTTAAGAGATTATTGACCGTGTCTAACTGAAAATGTAAATCTCTCTTTTATTCAGTGCAATTTTTGAAAAGCTTTAGATGCAGTGGAGGGCGGTGCAACTGGTACTTAGGCCTGCACTGGCCACCCTTCAACTTAACCTTAACTAACGTAAGAACATGTTATGTTGGTAATACAAAGGGTTTTTTGCATATTTTCAACAAGGGGTTAATATCACCACTTTTATATTTATATAGTATTCAAATATGAAATGTAACAAGCGTGGGTATAACAGAGAGGAAGATTAGTGTGAGGGTGAATACAGAGAACAATAAGGCAAGAAGCCCAGTTAGGGCAAAGGCAATCCTCTACTCTATAACCACAGCTCCACCACATTTTCAGCACCAGGAGCTGTTCGGGTTTAATATTATGCATGTAACTACCAAATAAAATAGAGCATAAAGCATGAAAATAAAATATATATCACACTGACCAGAGAGGCTGATTATTTATAAAAACAATCCATCCTTCTGTCTTTGTGCAGGAAGTATCAGTATCACGATGAAGTATCTGCAATTGAGGCCCAAAAAAACTTTTAATAAAAGTTTTGCTCTAACTGACCAATCAGAGGACAGAAAATGCTGACGTTTGCAGTGGGCCCGCTACATTTAATTGATTGAAGAAAACATTCCTCACTAATATTATGAAGGTGTCAACAGCCAGCACTACTGATTCTGAAGGCCCTGGGCAAATTTGATTGACATAGCAAGGAATTAAGTCTGAAATCTGATTGCACAAAAAAATATAGCAGCCACATAAATGTAATAGAAGCAGCACAGCCAAGAGAAGTGCTACAAAATTAAGAGAATGGATTGTTTGGAATGAATGAATACAGTTTGATAGAAGGAAATTAAAGTTTAGGTTTTGAATGTTGGTAAGTGTTCCGTATTGATTTTAGGCCAGCAGTAAAGGCTTTGAAGGCCCTGACCGACTGTTTAGATGTGAGATAGATATGAGTAAAGTTAGAGCTTGTTAACATTTATGAAAAATAGACATTTCTAGTATAATGATGTGCTTGATTTAAAATGATTAGGAATTCAGTTTAGGCACTATGATATGGTCTAGGTCTCCCATTATCTCTTTTTATTGGTTGCTTAGCCCTGAGCTGATGGCTTCTTCCTCAGAAAAAACATTTTGCAGGAATTATAAAAAGTCTGAATTTTAGGCCTTTAAAGATGTGCCTTCATTTTCAAAGTATTGCTTTAACATTGTATTGCTTAATCTATCATTATTTAATTTATAAATAATTATTTTAATTCTTGATTTTATGAAAGATTTGCTTAGATTGGTTTTAGGGATTTTCACTTTAAGTTTGATTATCCTTGACTCTTAAATCTCTTTAATACCTACTTGGGTTACTTTTGATGTTATAGAGGTAATTTTATTACTTTATTAAGCCACTTGGCTGTAATTACAGCCTGAAGTCTTTTTAAATAACATGCCACAAGTTTAGCTCTCCTAACTTTAGGTAGTTTTGCCAATTTTTTTCCCTGCAGTACATTTTAAATTCAGTCATTTAGGATGGGAGATAGGAGATAGGAGATCCATGTACGGCCATTTTCAGAATTTTCCTTAAACGATAAAAGCGATTCACATCTGGACTTTGGTTTAGCCACTTCAGGACATTTACTGAGAAGTTTTGAAGCCAGTGTTGGCTTTTATTGTTTGGATGACCGTTCTTAGTCGCACCAGTCTTAGTCGAGACTACTCTAGAACAGATTTTCATGCAGTATACTTTTGTACATCTCTGTATTCACTGTAGGGATAGTTATGATTTCCTAAAGGAGAGGCTTTCATCCGACCAATGTACAATACAACCCTGATTTGTGGATTGTTGCAGAGATGGTTGTGCTTCTGGAAGGATCTTCTCTGTCCACAGAGGGACACTGAAGCTGTGACAGAGTGACCATGGGGTTATTGGTCCCTTCTCTAAGGTCCATCTCGCTAAGACAGTCAGTTTAGACAGCCCGCATGCTCTTGGCAGGAAGGAGGCCATTTTACTCGATGAGACCTTTAAAGCAGTAGAAATATTTCTCTATCCTTCACCAGATTTGTGCCTCAAGAAAAATCTGTCTCTGAGGTTTACAGAAAACTAATTTGACTTCATGCTCAGGGTATACGCTCTGAAATGCACTATCAGACCTTATATAGATAGATTTGGCTTTTCTAACCATTGTTGGTCAACTGAATTTACCACCGATTAACTCCATTGACGTTGCAGAAACATCTCAATGAGGATCAGCTGAGAAATTATGCTCCCTTAAAAAGGGTTTAATAAGTATATGCTTAAGGTCATCTGAAGCTTCCTAACATGGCTGAAAGCTGTTATAAATGACTTGGTTCTCTTCATTTATTTTGTAGCTGCATTCATAAACTTTCTGGTGCATTGCTTTTTCGCACTGCTTTAACGTTTTTCTTGTATTAAAAAAAAAACAAACTCATTGCATTTTTATTGTATCCTGGCATGAAACATCCACACTTTATTTGCACTTACTGTTTAAACAACAAAAACAGTCCAAAGATGGGCTGCCTGCTTTGTTATCATACAAATATGCTTTTCTTGCAGAATACCCTTCTGTCTAAATAAACTATAATTATTCTTTAAGAAATGGTTGTGGATGGGTGTTGAGCAACACCTCCTGCTGATCTTTCTTTTTTTATTCTTCTCCCATATCCAGCTGCAAGTGATCACTACCTCATAGGGAACAACATCACAGTTGCTGTTTTGGGAATAGTCATTCCGATTGGTAAGTATTCTCTACTTTTCCATGTCTTTGTACTCTGCCTGCCTGCTTCTCCCTCCTTGCTCGTACACCGCTGCTTGTATTAAAAGTTCTGTGAATTGTTTGTGCATTTGGCTTTCTGTGTTTCTGGCGACGTGCATGATCATGTATGTTTAATAGGGGTGTGCAGTTCGCGCGTTTCTGGTCTATTAGTGATTACTGATCTTTATGTACAAAGCCAATTCCGATTTTGACCGATTTTTTAAAGAAATTACGCTGTCAGCTGTTATAAGATCAAAACACATCTTTGATATTTCAATCTTAACTTACTGGGAAACATTCAACAGTACCTGTGAAACAAGAAAAAAACTTCAGTTGTGAATCAAAGTTTATAGAACTGACAGTGGTGGATTTTCAGACTTTCATTGGTCAAGTATCAGCTAATCCCAAATCTTCCAAATTAAAGAAAATCAAAATAGATCAATGAGCTGGTGGACTGATCTGTGCACCCCACATGTTTATGCGCAAATGACATGAAAGGTACTCATAAAATCTTAAAAATGTACAAAAATTTTGTAATAGTTTTATAATAGCAATCTAACACTTATTCAGCACTGAAAAGCATTTTTTTAAATAAGAAATCATATTTTCAAAAGCAAACCAAACTGAGCTTAAACCTAACAGATTCCCATCTATAAAAATCATTTATAAGGCAGTAAGATAATCAGTCAGTGATTGGCTAAGCCTGATTAATACACAGTTTGTTATCATAAACCACCACGAGCTTTGATGTTATCCAACAATAAAAAAAATCCCTTTTAGAGTGGTAAGGCCATGAGTCACTGAGTGGCTAGGCCTTTGTAATGTAAACATTATGCCAAATTAATTAAAAATTGAAAAGCAGTGAATGTTTTGTCATTACACTGGTCCTGTTGTTTAAACATTAGATTTAACTTCCTCTGTAATCATATTTCATGGCTCTGTATGAATTAGGGCTCTGAAAAATGAAATGCGGTTACTTCAGTCTGTTCTGAATGATAAAAATTACTTTACATTTTTAATTTTTAGTAGATTTAATTAGTTAAATGCTTTAGCTACCCAATTAAAAAAAATGTTTTTGAACAACCAGAAATTCATTACTGTTATACATGCATCACATTGCGATAGATGTGTTAAAAGCATTGAAATATGCAGACCTTTAAATGTTGAAGTGGCATAATAATTTTAAAATCCGGTTTCTGACTTTAACTATCGGAGACTTCAGGTTTTGATCTTTATAGTTATAAAAATTTATAAAGAGATTTGCCTTGATTAAAAAAATATATTTTAAAATATGGGCGATGAATATCTGGTTTATATGATTTATTTTTTCCACATCTTTTCCAGTGGTGCCAACAGATTTGATCAATTCTGTATACTATAAAGGCAACGTTTGACTGGACTGTCTTAGATTTAGGTACATTAAATTAATTCGGAGCAGCAGATCTGTAAAATTATTCTTTTTTTTTTTTAAGTAAAATTAAAACCCTACTTTATGTACATTTTTTATGTTCAATTGCTAACCAGTCATATAATGACCTTTTAGTGCCACAACATGCTATTAATTGATGGCTCTAATTTGGAAAATTTGCTTAAATCCCAGAAGCTCTTATATTTCTTTTATCCATTTTTTATCTTCATTTTATCCTCAACAAGAGAGATGTGAGCTAATTAGAAAAACAACCCCTTAGAGACTTTGACCCTTTCAACCTCATCCTTCATACTGTCCCTCTGCCAGTCTTTGCTGCTACTGGGCTAAATCCCTCGACATAATTTTGGGGAATTTTTGAAACATTAATTATTGTTGGAACTCCACAAGGGCTGGGATTTTTGGAGCTCTTCTCCAGTAATGCACCACCCACTGTTCCACAAGAGGGGTGCGTCTCAGCCCCGATTAACAGTATTTAGCGCAAGTTGGGCTGTTACAGTGCCTCTCAAATTAGAAGGAAATATTCTGCAAAAAAAAAAAAGACTATTTTTTTTTTTTTAACCAGTGAGCATTTAAGAAAGAACAAAGATAGATTTAGTCACACAGGGATCTTAAGTCTATTTAGTACTACAAAAGGGCAATTAGATGGGGCTTCCATAGGGGATGAAGGCACATCTTTTGGTATGAACACACATATACGCAAACACTACTTTTTTTTTTTTTTCTCACACTGGATTGCCCGTTACTTTCTCATACATAGTGTTCACACACACACTGGTTCTGCAGGGCAGTTGAGCATTAATGCCAATATGGTAATGAATAGAAAGAGACGGCACTTATCTCAAATCCTCCAAAGCCCCCCCTCCCCTTCCTCTCGTCCCCTCTCCATTCTCCTCTAATAACCCTGTCCAAAAAAACACCACAGCCAGACTGTCTGCAGATACGTTTTCATTTTTCAGTCAAGGCGAACACAAAATTATAAATCATATCCAAAATGGAGCAGCAGGATAATGTGCTGATGACAGCTAAGCAACCTTGCAGCACTTTTTATAAGAAAAAACAAACAAAAGCTAGATCAATTGCCTAGGGACCTGAATGCTAAATGATTTTATATTACAAACCTTATGTTAGCCTCTGTTTGCATGCTGTGGATGGGCTTTTATAGTATGCATAATGCTGAATAGAAGCAGTCTCTGAGGTATAATGTGCATGTTGATTTATTTGTGTGTGTTTTTGATCTTTCTGTGAGATGAGGAGTAATGTACAGCATTGGATCCAAATCTTCTCTCTTTATAATTTGCTTCAAGGTCATTTTGATGGGATTGTTAAAGTCATTTTAAATTTTCTTCTTTGGTCATGTTGCATTTTTCACTCATTTTCTGTCTGTTTAGCCTAATGTCATAAGAATTATCTCTTTTTATTTAAAACTTGATTTATTTAATTATGATTAATCAACAATTGACACACAAATCATGTTTAAAAAACACTAGTATTCACTACTATAATGTAAAATATTTGTCTCACACCCCTTTCAACTTTTGCAGGTTTTGTCCACACAAGCCCAAACTTCACAAACTTAACAAACACAAACTACACAAACTTTGGCCATTTATTTTAAGCTTTATGTAATACCAACAAAGAAGTGCTTTAATGACGCATGAAAGAAACATGATGTGTACTTTTCAAAACTATTTTTCACATAGAAATCTTAAAATTCATATATGCATTTGTATTCAGTCCAAACTAATAAATCAAATCCAGAGCAGCCACTCAGAAGTCACTTATTTTTTAATGTTTATTTTGGTGTGAAACCTAATCTCAGTATAAATATAGCATCATAAATCAGCATCGTATCAAAGAATGCACTAGACAGGTGAGGGTTAAACACATGGAGAATGTGATCCTGAGAATATTACAGCGCACATTTTGCCATTTATCATCCAAAAATAGACATTATTGCACAACTGCAGACTTAAAACTGCATTAATAAAAAAAAAAAAAAAAACTCATGATGTTGTATTTGGTGGATGGTATATTTTCTGTATTTGCTATATATATTTTCTTTACATTGAAATTTTTATTGAAATATGTTTTCCATATGTTAAACAGGCTAAGTGCAAACGTACTTAGACCCATCCATCTACCTCAAATATTAGGCTGGTAATGACAGTGTTATTAGAGTAGGAACCAAGAAGCCCTCTGGAGGGGCTGTGATGATTCACTGCTTAGGTGGAGACGTTTGTCAGGAGAACAGCTATTAATCCTACACAAATCTCACCTTTAGAGTGGAATGGAAAGAACAACATCATGGTTTAAAGATATACGTTTTGGTTTGCTGTAGCCATGTAAGAGACCTAAAAACAGAGAGAGGGGGTTTGGTCAGATGACACCAAAGTTGTACATCCAATAGAAAAATTCCACTTCTGGTAAAAAGAAAAACAAATATAAAAACAAACAACCTAACAAGACACCTCTGCACAGTGGAAAAAAAAGCAGTTTGTAGTTTCTGCAGCAGCATGGAAGCTGGTCACATACAAATGCATACAGGCTCTATTTTGATTGATTTTATTTCTTCCAATTCGGAAAAAAGACACTATTTGGAGTTAGTGTCACAGTTTCGAACATAAAAATTTATAAACTGTACAAGAGTTTTTGGTTACTATAATACAAAATGCAATGTAAAAAAAAAATAAAAAATCATAATACATAGGAAGTTATTGAAGGCACTGTAGTATTTAAACAGATATTTAGTTAAGTTATTTACAAAGAGCTGTAATGTAAAAGTCCCAGGCACATCACATTACCAGCAGAAGAACAACTGATCCAGTCAGCTTTTAGTGACCTATATTTCCTATTTCTGATGTTTTTCATAATTTTTTTTTTATTATTCTTAATTATAATTTGGCTTAAACTCTTTCTTTATGTGTCAATTTCTAAGCAAACAATATAAATTCCTGTTTTGGTCAAAATTGGACAGAAAATGTATGAAAACGCAACTCAAGTCCACAGGATCTCTGGTGGCATAATATGAAGAAATTAGAGGTGGTTTTAGATATGTTTGCTCTGTTCTGTAGGGTAATGAGTCTGGAGGCTCATAGTCTTTGCTCAGATTTTTCAAATTGTTAATTTTTGGTCAGTGCTATTTTTAGAAAATATTCATTCTTTGCATTTTTTCTAGTCTTCAAACCTTATCTAATTGTTGATCAAATGTTACATTGAATACCATTTATGAAAAAATATATATAAATAGATAATGTGATGCTTAGTTTTGGGATAAACTCCCTTCTAAGAATAAATTTTAAAGAAAATAAAGAAAGCTATGAGCCTTCAGCTAAGAAATGGAAATGCTGCAAGCTGTATTGTGTGTGTTAGTGCCTAAAGTGCCGCTCCGTGTCCCCTGGGCTGTGTTAACGCTCCCGCCGTTTGTTGTTGTTGTGTGTGTGTTAAACACATGCAGTCCCTATCCTTGCCACAGTGGTCATCGGATTGATCTGCACCGGCGGCTACCTGATATGGCGCAACTGGCGACGCAAAAACACCAAGAGCATGAACTTCGACAACCCCGTGTACCGCAAAACAACAGAGGACGATGACGACGAAATCCACATTGGGCGGCAAAGCGATTCCATTGGCCACGTCTACCCGCCAGTGAGTGGCAGCCACAGCCAGCCGTTCATAGCGCTTCCACTAGGTGGCGGCGTCACAGACAGCAACTCTCATTGGTACTCTGGTGCACCGATGCTTTCCAGTGCCAAATGAGGGTTAAACAAGTGGAAAAATGGATTTCTGAAATGTTTTTGGCAAGTGGGATGATGCACAAGGTTTCCAAGTGGGGAAAAAGAGCAGGCTCGCACATGCACACTTCCAGATGCTCACATACCATTTTAAATCACTGAGAGCACCAATTAGACATACCTAAGTCATCTATTTAGCATTTTTTTCTTCTCATTAAGCAACAATTACAATTAAATAAGATTCCCAAGAACATCCCTCATCTCATTGTTTTTATGTTATGGTTCATCAACCTGGTTATCAAATGTCTTTTCTGTCAAAACTCATCTTTAAACAGAAGGAACTGTTGCCTGCAGGGGTTTCTAGGGTAGGGCAGTAGATTCTTTTTATTTTATTTTTCGCAGATTAACCATATTTTTTTCCACATATGGTCAATGAAAAATTATTTTAACATGAAAAATACCAAAATTAAAATACTATCCAAACAGTGGGAATCCAGAGCTTAAATATTGTTTATATTTAGCTAAATATTATTGGAACATTATTATTATGATAGAGTTAATCAAATTCCAGTTACTTTGAAAGCTGGATAAAGGACCTCAAAGCCTTTTCAACTGTTCAAGTCTTGATTAAATTAATTCTTAAAGCATAAAGGAAGACAAAATCAGGGCAAAAGACAGGCTAAAACAAAACTGATTGTACTTTCCCAGTAACAATTATCACGGTCCAAAAGCTAGCCCGCTGCTTTCTTCCTCATTCAGATATACTCCGTAGTCATCCAGCTAACAATTGACAGATGCATCTTGATAATTATCATTAAAATGTTACAGTATCTGTTTTTATTAAAAAGTAAAATGTGTGTTTTTATTCATCACACATGATTTTAGTTCCTCTTTTCCTCTGTGATCAAAGAACTAGATCAGTTAAAAGGCTTTATAATGCAGACGAGTCACGGCTATGTTAAAAAGGAGGCTCTGACATGACAGTTGTCTTGTGGATATTCTTTAACAGCCTCCCTAAATAGAGTAAACTAAAAACAAATCTACCTGACTGTGCAGAGCAGTCAATTTGTAGTAATATAATTAAAATTGAGAGAAACATTATTGTTGTATAAAATTGCACAAAATTGCAACGCGATGACCGCAGCCTTAAGAGGGTTTTGAAACAAGCTCTGTCAGAAGTTCAGGTGTGATTTAAAAAATACTGCTGGAATCATTATTCATCATTACAAAAAAGTAAAAAAAGAACATTCCACTGGACTTTGTTTCCAAGTTTGAGGACGTTTCGCTTCCCATCCAGGAAGCTTTTTCAATTCAAATGTCAGAAATAGCGTTGAGTTCAAGGTTTTATTCAGTAGCCCAACAAAACGTTTTTTTTTTTTTTTTTAATATGCAAATTGAAATGGAGGAAACGGGTCCACCCCTTTGTAATGGGAGTCGTTTGGCTTCTTTTGTTAGCCTGCAATGCCCCATACCCGTCTATGTCTCTGAAAGGGATGTTTTTAAAGGGAATTGTTGGCCTGGCTGAATAAGCAAGGGTTTTTGTTCCCCTGTAAAGGGAGTGGGGGTTGCGATGATAGTGGGAACGGAACAATTCAATTGCTGCATTGTAGGTTTTTGAAAGCTTAAATCTGAGACCACTCCCTCTGTTTACAGTTGTTTTTTCTTTCTTAACATAGATGGCTTCCTTCCCGCCCCTCTCAAACCACCTATCTTCTTTGTTCAAAATGTCAACATTCTCCTCTTCAAAAGAATGTCCTTTGTTCATAAGGTGTAGATGTACCACAGAGTCTTGTCCCGAGGAGGTCGCTGCTCTTTGTTTTTCATTCCATTAATTCTGTTTCAATTTGCATGTTTTCTGAACAAAAACACCTTTTTTTGGGGCTACTGTAAAAAACCTTGAACTCAACGCTATTTCTGACATACTGAATTGAAAAAGCTACCTGGATGGGAAGCGAAATGTCTTCACACTTGGAAACAAAGTCCAGTGGATTGTTTATTTAAATTTTTTTGGAATGACTATGACCTGGATGACTCAGAGTCTTCACCAGCATTATTTCTCATCATTTACCTTCACAATGTAGTCAGCTGAATGCTTAACTAGAGATATTAGAAGAATCCTACCTTTGTTAAGGAGAAAAACGTTGGAACAATCAAAGTCTCAGAATCTGTAGGTAAAGTGGAGAGGCACAGCATCCAAAGTGATTAAAGTCCACTATAACTTTCCACAGCCAGAAATGATTTAAGGAGTCGTGTCATTTGCCGATGCTGCTCCACTATGTGTTATCAAGTCTAAAGTGAACTAAGCTGCTAATCTTAGAGCACTTTGTGATTTCCTCTGCTGACAAGCTTAATAGAGATATTTATTTACTTTTCCAGCGTGACCTGGCATAGTCCCAAAGGCCAATAGCACCAATAGCTCTTCAAATAATATGATATAATGTACTTGGCTGGCCAGCAAAGAGGTTTTACCTGAATCCCATAGACAGTCTATGTAGTATTCTAGACAAGAGATTGAGAAACACAAAAACTGACAATATAGACCAACTGAAGTTTCCTTACAAATCAAACTGGGCTTCAGTAATTTATGCATATATAGGTGCTTTTATTACACTCTAATCTTCAAATAAACTGAATGTTGTGATTTAATTGCTTTCATACCATGGTCTTTAAAAAAAAAAAACCAACATCAACACTAAGAACATGTCACTCTGAGTGTAATGAGTCTATATGATACAAGGCTAACTATTTAAAATCAATTACTGACACTAAAGACTTTAATTTATAAGGATACACCTATGGGAGAACCACAGGTTTGTTGAAAAATGCATAATCATGACACTAAGGATGTTTGTTTTATATAGTGTGCCCTGGTTTATCTGGATACTGCCATTAAGGGCGGCCAAAACGAAATTATTGAGGGGTAAGGAAGTGATGTTCTTGATCGGTTGGCATGGTAACACTGATTTCTTTGTAGTGCTCTGTAGTAGAAGAGGGGAAAATAGAAAGAATTGTGGGTATCCCTGGCACGATGACTCTCTAGAAGCACACACACAGACAGACATAGAACAGATGCACGATTAAGATTCAAGGTCGAACAAAGAGCAACATTCATTGAAAAGGAGGAGAGAGGCGACTGCCCATCTTAATGGTTTTTAAATTATTATTTAGAAATACCTGTATTGTATTTCATTTTTACTCTAGAGATTTTTCCTTGTGTCTCATCAAGTTCTATTGCCTGTGCTGTTGGAGGTTGGTCCGGCTGCTAAAATATGGGCCAGACATTTGCAGCTGTAAGCAAGAATCCTGCATTCCTCATCTACTGTACAAGCATGCAGGGAAGGAAGGGGGGTCAGACCATTAGGGAAGGTTGGGGAGGGGAAGTATAATTCTGAGAAGAAAGACCAGAAGAGAGATAAAGGTTGCATTTTTCTTTAGGTTTCCTCATAGATTCACTTTTGTCGCTTTGTTCATCCCCTCCTTCAGCCTGCCTTGGTAACCATCTTTTTATCTACTGTTTACAGCGTGTGGCACTCAGTGTGGAGGACGATGGCTATCCCTAATGAGGGGGGATGCAGCCTGCTTACCAACACACACCCCCCTCAGTGCCCTCCTGTTCCTTCTCTGAGCACAGCCTCCGCACCACTACAATGAGGCCAGTACAACGCAGAGGAGAATAAAATGGAGTCACCATTTTGCCTCCTCCTTTACAAGTAGCAGGGATGACCTATGCATTTCTTCTCCTCCCTACTCGCTATCACTAGCTAACACTACATTCATTAGTGTCAGCTTTGTTGCCTCTGCTTCACTCCTCTTTTCCCTCTTCTGATGCTTCCTAACAGTAGTGGTGTAAAGAAATGCTGCTAGATGATATTTCTCCCCACTAACCTGACTTGAAAATTGTACAGTAAGAAGGCTAATGTTGGCCACTACAGAAGTATATGGGGGGCGCTCATGTTTTGATTGTTTTCATTTATTTATACCTTTTAAATATGTAACCAGCATCTGTCGTTGCGTAGTCGTAAATGCAATTTGATTGATCAAGTTTAAAGACGTACTGTAAAAGGCAAGGATGTTGCATTTGCTCTGGTTGGCTTAACATTAGCAATAGCATAGCTTATTTGTTTGAAGGGAGGATGCCATCTATTATTTGCTACTGACATGTGGTAATGCTAAATATAGTCAAGTGGATAGTAAAGAGAAAAAAGGTTGGAGCTGCTCAGATATTTGGCAGTGACTTTTAGGTGAAAGAGTGGCAAGGTTAATTTATTTCACTATTATTTGTCAAGGAATGACCTGATTGGTGCTTGCAGACTGTTGTACTTCAAAATAAAAAGCAGGAGGACAGAAAAGGCAATGAATTGTGGGTAACCCATCTCTTTGTATGGGAGGTATGCACAGAGTCAATAACGAGCTTAGTCAGTTTGATTAAAAGTGATAGGTTAGGGTTTACGAATCTCTTGGTTCATTGTTTTTTTTTTTATGTGATGGCAAATTTTTCCACCTCCTGTGACTGTTTTAGATATACGTATGGAGCTGCTACTCTAAAGGATTTATGCACGAGACATTATTAATATTTTAGGATTTTAAAAGACTGTAATTATTTTCTATATTTTCATTTCAGAGTGCCATAACTGTAGGAGCATTATAATTTGATCTGTTTTAAGGTTAGTATTTCTTTGTCTTTTGGTATTTGTCTTCCAATTAGCTCCCAATCGATTGCTTTTTTTACCTTTATTTAACTTGGTTCAAACAATGCAATATACCAGTTAAAGCTTGGCTATATTGAGCCTCTCCCTGTGACCAGACGACCCTGGTTTCCTCGGTGTAGCTGCCGCACCTTCATGTCGATGCAGGTAGATGAGATGATGCAGAAAAAAAAAATCCCAAATATAAACAGCATCACTCACTGCTCTCATTGAATGTTCACTATGGTTCTGTGAGCAGATCAGTAAAATATCAGGCTCTGCTGATTCTGGCACACTGATTTGATTTTAGAGATGAGTGGAGAAGGAATGTAAGAGCCATCGTAAAGAGGTTATCTTCCATTTGCCTGCCTCAGATGCACTTCCAGCCCATTGAATCAGACAGTTTATGCCCCCTGAAAACAGTTGTAATTGTTCATTTTATGTTCCAGTTGTAAATAACCATAGGAGATTATTAAATGGCAATTTGGCACTTACAAGAATCAGCTTGTTTATATGGGACATCATTCATTTTTTTTTACTATCTAACCATTAAAGATTTCTCTACCATATTTATTGTTAATACAATCTAACCTTTTTGTTTTAGATATGTAGGACCAGAATGTCTTTCCCTGTTAACCTGCAAAAAAATTACTCTCAGTCTTCCTTTGCTTACTTACAATATTTTGGATATAGTTCGATTTTTAGATGTAATGCAAACAGTTTATATTCAGGGATTTAAATAATTTTGTTTCTCTTTTTTTGTAGAGCTGTTTGAGTTTTAAGTCACTGATAATCCCGGCTGAGGGTGACATGAAAACAAACTACATGGAGATGCTTTCTTTAAATCTTAATAGGTGCTGTAGTTACCTGAATTTCTAGCAGTGCTGCTTTGTGTTTTTCCAACACTAACTTCCTTAGAATGGCTATGCATATTCCTGTCCAGTTATAGACATGCTTCTGGTTGAAGTTCGAGCTGCTCTTTTTGACAGAACTTTTTGAATTTATTTGAATTGGTTGGCTTCCTCACGCAGACTTAACTTCCATGCTTCCTTTACATGTTTTCAGCATTATTAGGGCTTTCAGACCCATTTCAGGCATCAAAAGTTAGCAGGTCTTATCCATTTCAAAATCAACTATATGTAATATTGTACCAACTATCATGCATGGTGGTGATTTCATGTTGCTGAGTCTATTGCTAGTACTGGTGCAGAATGGTCAAAACTTAAAATCTGGGTGTTCTGGTGTGGCAATGATCTCAAATAAATACAGATATACCAAATATACCAGTATATCTTCAGGGGCCATTTATTATGGGTTCTGCCAAGAAGAGCAACTCAATTCAATGCAGAACTGTTATTACCGATGCTACAAAAGGTTGTGGTCATCTATGATTGATTCAAGGACATTTCTAACAAGAACTGTAAACTAAAAGGAATGTAGAGTTAGAATTAGTACATGCTCCTATTCTAGTGCTAAAAGGAGAACAGTGACTGCAAGAAGGCATGAGCCACAGGTGAGAAATCCTTGTCATTTTTAATACTGAATCAGTTTCAGACTCTGTTGACTGCACCCTAAGCTGAGTCAGCTCTGAGTCTAGCTCCTTCCTTTTTTCGCCTTTGTTCGCCTCAGGAATAATGAAGTTCCATGCTGAGAAGTTGCAGTTATGAGGTTAAATTGCTTATTTATTTAGCTGCCTGAGCGTGACATTGTGGGAAAGTTATTATTGCTACAGTGTAAAAGACAGATTGACCGCTCTACTTTGTGGTCACCTCCAGTCGAGCCAATTGCACTGAAGGACGCAGTGAAATACCAGACTCCTGCCTTCGCTGTTCATATTATCAGAGGGGGGAGAAAGGGAAAGATGACCTTGTGCCACAAAGCCATACCATATATACAAACAGGGACCATCAAGAAAATTTGGTGCTTAAATGGCAGCATTATTTCTAATTTCGCTGTTAGTTCACCCATAAAGAGCAGCCTATGGTTATAACATTTCATTCTGGCTTGTGCCTTTGCGCTTTCGGAGGTCATTTAGTTGCTGTAAACCAGGTACTGTGTTGTGTGACTTCTTTAGTTTGGGTTAGTAGTTTTTGTGTGTAACGTTCTGCGTTTTTTAGTGTAACCACACCTTTCATCTGCTTTGAGAACCTGAAATATGCAGTTTAAGTAGCTGTTTGGTGTAACTCCGGTTGATTTGGATCCTTTCTGCTAAAATGTGAAAAACATCTCATAATTCACTCAAGAAATTAATATTTCTACTGTTGAAGCAGGTGAAACAGCAAATTCATATTTGCTGCTGCAGATAGTTTCTAGATGACAGGGTATCCAAAAATAAAAGCAAGGTTATGAATCAATATTGAATACATTCTTGGAAAAAAATAGTATTAAATTTTAATTTCATCTTGTGAATTTGTATTTAATAATTTAATAATTTATCTATTTAACAACTTGTAATGCATATGCCTTCCCTTTTTTTTTCAGCTACAATTCCACCGAATTGATTTAGTCTGTTATTAGCTAATCACACTAACTACTAACTACCCTGATGACTAATATTAAGTTTTGCACAGAGTCTATAAACTTATCTTAACATGTTCTCCTTTCTTAAAATTTCTAAGGTATATCATCCACTAGAGTGCTTGTTAAGATCGCTCCTCTTTTTACCTGTTCATGCTCTTTTACATCTCATGCATTGGCAACAGTCTCTTTCCTTATCATGCAAGCAACTTTCACCAGGAAAATGTTGTTTTTTTTGTTTCTTTTATACATCTTCATCTCAAACATTCTTTCACCATCAAGAGCTCTCAGTTTTTTGTCAACAGAATACACTGGAAGATTAAAAAGCACTGGAAGAAATAACTCAGTTCCCCAGAAATAACCTGGAAAAAAGCCTCAGAGCTGAAAATAAAACTTCCTCCCTGAATAAGAACCTGCAGACCAATACAATCAGCCAGAAGAGGAGTCTCCGCCTCCAGCTACAATTTTGAACTGTGGAAGGAAACTGACTCCACTCTGCTGGCTTTTAGCTCTCGTTGACCTTGTTGTTGACTTTTCTTTAATCCACAGCTTCCTCTTTTTATGACGTGGGTTTGTTTTTGGACTGTGAATCCTCAGTGTTTGCCAATTCATTCCCACTGTTCCTAGTTGATCAACTTGATGTTACTTGAAGGGAAGTGTTTTGTTCACCATGTTTTTTCTACCAGCTAGTATTCAATGAAGGATGTTTTTTTTTTGGGGGGGTTTATCTGTTTTCATTTTGATATAAAACATTATAGACACATGTTGTCTGGACAGTCTGTGGTTGAAGACATTCTCCAGCTTTTGTAAGAAATACTCGCCTGTATTTTCTCTAAAAATTGTCATTGCCTGCAAGGAAATGTAAAAGAAAATTCAGCGTCCATTCCACACGACAGGCATTTTATAAAAGCTGTTTGTTGCACAAAACTTTTCAAGAAGCCTTCTGCACTGTGTAAAGAGGTTGCATACTTAGAAGAGGGAGAGGAAATAATGGGGTTGTGGGTGGGGTGGTGCTGGGATCTGGCAGTTACAGACCAATGGTTTTGAATCATGAAATGTAAATAAAACCTTTTCATAAAGCAAAAAAACAAACAAACATCTTTTTTGATAATATTTGAAATGTATCTGTAAAAAGGTGTATATAGACTTCTGGGGTTAAAAAGGAGTGTAGACTATATATAAATTTATTTGTACACATGAACACTGGGTTTCTTTAATGTTTGATTGTAACTAGAAATTAATAATCTGCCAAAGTGTTTTTACTTTTTTTTCTCTTGTATGTTCCATTTGTTTTATTTTGTTTTAGGTTTTAACAGCACAGCAGACTGTAGTATTTAATTCCTTATAATTTAATTTTGATGTGTTTGAGGGTTTTTTTAATGAGGGAGGGGGGTATTTTAATTTATTGGTGCCTTGTTTTGTGCTCCTGTATACTTTCACTCTGTTTCTCCGTGTTGTGTGTATGTGGGAGATCCAGGGGGGATTAACTTGGGGGTTGGGGGGTGTGGGGGGGTAATCTTTAGCATCTTCTCTACTTACATCTCTGTACTTTATGCCAAAATGGTCACATTCACGTTTCTATGAAATCAAGCTGTTGATAAATCACTATATATTGATATATTAAATTTATAAAAACTGTCTGAACCTTCTGAGTTGATTTCTTTTTACTTAATACAACTTCTGCTTTTTTTACCCAATATGCAAAACTAAATGGTAAATGGTATGTACTTACATAGCGCCTTTATTCAAGTCAGGAGACTTGACCAAAGAGTTTTACACTACATTCATTCACGCACACACTCACACACTGATAATGGCAAGCTACATTGTAGCCACAGCTGCCCTGGGGCTCACTGACAGAAGCTGGGCTGCCATACACTGGCGCCACCGGGCCCTCTGACCACCATCAGTAGACAATGCAGGTGAAGTGTCTTGCCCAAGGACACAACGACACTGAAAGTCGGAGTCGGGGCTTGAACCGTCAATCCTTCGATTTCAGGTACTGAGGGAATGCTGAAGATGTGATCAGGTGTTGGAAATGATAATTAAGTGAATGATTGATGGATTGATTTTAAACGATCTCACAGCAGAGAAATTTACTTGTTACATTGGCTGAAATATTCAAAAAGCCGAAGAAAGTGCAAAAGGAAGAATAGGGAAAAATGATAGATTCCTTACTTTAAAATAGTCTTTACTGGGATATGCAACATGCAATAAAATACATTCCAAAGTATACAAGAAAAAAAATATGTAATGCTATATTTAAATTAACTTTCTGTCTTTTGTAATTCAGCAAGACTAAGAGATAACTGTGCCAGCCAGATGCAGTCAGACTCACAGGTGAGATAAACTGAGAACTTAAACAATCTCAGGAGACCAAATAAGCAATACAACCAGCTCTATCTTCTGATTTTCTGTTAGCCTTGGAAGCTACACTGACATCTTCAAGGGTGTTCATTTATTGAAGCCAAGTTTTTTTTCAATATCTATACTTTTCTATTATATATCTGAGGACTTTTTATATTTACTCACTACATTTAAACACAAATACTCTATAATTCCACCTCCTTACATTCTCTAAACGTCCTTATTTCTTCTAGACATGTTGAATACATCACACATAACAGCTCCAACACTGATAGGGATACGGATGAAGACGGGGCTTGGAAGCATGACGGAGAAACACGAGACAATCCCCATTCATATCCCATTTATTAGATTTTTAATTTCCACATTATGGTTGGTGTTTCATTTTAATTTTATATATTCTATTTGCAACTTTAATTATGGAATACTAGAGCTCTAAAAGTATGAATCTGCTTGTGCAGGAGTTTTGCACAGTTTAATCAACATTATTGTGTCTGAATTTAAATTTGGGACAAAACCAGAGCAAGTCGGTATTTTGGTGTCTTATCTTTCAATACAGTCAGCAAAGAGGAAAATTAACCAATATTCTGTGCATAGAAGATTTTAGAAGTTACTTTGTACCTCAGAAACCAAAACTTCATTTTAATTTTGTATTTAGGTACATGTAGAACATGTACTTTAATACTACTACTTAAGTAAAGGAGTTCAATCTAGTTTAGTTTTTGCATGGATATCTGTACTTTATTTAAAGAACGAGATGTTTTTGACAGCATGTCTCAAAACACACTTAGCACATATAAAATGATGGCAGGTGTGTATAGTGTATGCAGTGCTGTCAGTTTTTCATTAACGCATCCCTGGAAGAAAAGTGTCTGTTTATTTTAAATAGTTTTTAAGCTGTAATTCAGACATTCTGATTGTAGGATTAAGTATTAGCCATCTTAGCCCCACTAATGTTGTCTAATTTGGTAGAATATCCTTAAAGGCACAACTTACGGTAATATTAACAATTCAACTAACTGAAAGGCCCTTGCACAAAGAGAAGCAGTCATGAGGCAACTTTGGTGAGGCAGCAAAAACAGGTGGAAGAGTGTCAAATGGCCTAATCTGGCCTAACCTCATATTGGGGAAGGGAGCAAAGATGTGAACTCCTTAAAAGGAGTCAGAACCAACATTGAAGGTTTTAGATTCTGGTATCTTTATGTCTTAGAATGGCTCAGTACATGTTTAGATACAAAATGGAATTAAGAATCTGTAGCAAGATGTAAGAATATCAAACATTTTTTTATTTAAAGATTATATGTAAGAAAACCTTGAAAGCACAGGAAAATACTGTAAAACAATGTCACCAGATAATTACAGGTAACTTGTATAATGAAAGATTAGCTTTAAATTCTTCTAAAAATCCCCAAAACAGCAATGAAACTACCTGATGGTGTTACAGTGCATCTAAATACAATAAAATTTGCAAAAGCCTGTCAGATTAAGTGATAAAAGGCAGTTTTGTCTCATTAATAAAACACCCTCTTATTAGCCCTGCCATTTAAATTCAGCTGTGATAAATAATGAGCTGTGGGCCATATGCACCATCTGCCCATCATTACCTTTAAACCTTTTATTGTTTTTATTCATCTCTGTATTAATGGAGGCTTTGACAACTGATTTATGAACTTGTAGTACATCTGCCATTATTTGGTTGTATGTCATGGACCTCATATAAATCAGATTTCCCAATGTAAGCTTTGCATCAGTGCATGTCCTTTAGCGAACCGACTCCCTCCTTCGAGGTGTACTTCACACCATCTTTTTAGTGATTTATTTCAGATGTTTCACCGTTGTTGGACTTCAGGTAACCTTTGAAGAATGCAGAAAGTTTACTGTAGGAGGCACAAAATCAAATTTGACTGTTCATTTCATTATTTATGCTTTACAAAAGCATCCAACAGCTATTGGCTATTGCTCTTAACCCTACATGCCATAAAAACTTCACCAGTAAGACTTCTTGATATTTAAAAAATAAAATTCAGAAATAATTTGTTTATGTACAGTATTTGTAATATGTTCAATTTTCGCTTTTGATAATTAGCTCTTAATTGGGTTTACATTAAATAATTTATGTGAAATTTTATTTGTAAAGGTGGTCAAAGCTAAACCTTCCTATATTTTTCCTCCATTAGTTTTTTTTTTTTTGATTAAATTAAATCGTATTTAAACAACCTATGCTTATTCTCAAATTGGCTACAGTAGGTTGCTTGACCTTTTCCAGAATAGGACAACTGTAATGGAAGCAAAGGTTAGCAGAAGCTCAGTAACTCTGACTTATTCATGCACTAAGAAGTAAGGAGTGGAGCCCCAGGTGAGTGCTAAGGAGTTACTGTTCTCTGCTGGCTTGATGGATGAGGCACCAAGCGAAGCCGTATCAGTGTTTGGGTGCTCTGTGACCTACAAGTTGTTCCAGGGCTGCTGTTTCTCCTTACAAAAGATGGAACCCCAGCTGAGTTCTAAACTCTCAATTTAAACTTAGTATTAAAAGGCTGACATTCATTGACCTTTTTCAGGAAAACATCCCCAAACCATTACACTCCCATGGATGGCATAGGGTTCAATAACTATAGGCAGACGGACAGACACTCACTAGAAGCTACAAGAAAACAGAATCATACAATTCCCACCATGATTTTCTTTATGTAGGTTTAACCTTTCTGTCTGTCTCATATTAGCTGACACATTGCATTACGTTAGTAGGTTTGGCCAGTTTATAAACTGTACCACATTTCAGGCGCAGGACAATTCAAAGTGCTGTAGATTAAAAGAGAAGCACGCTATAAACAGAATAAAAATGAATATTTAGAATAAGATGATTGTATATATATATATATATATATATATATATATATATATATATATATATATATATATATATATATATACACTATATTGCC